CATAACTACTAAAATAGTGGCCCGATCATGCTGATTTTCGAACTTGACCTGCGTTTTAGTAAGATTGATTACTCCTGTGAGTTTCATGACAACAGGCCTAACGGTTTTCCTTAAAATGTGTTTACAAGGTTGCATATATGCTGAAAAGTGAAAAAACAGCATAACTTCTACAATAATGGCCCGATCATGCTGATTTTCGAACTTGACCTGCGTTTTATGAATATTCATCAGCTCTGTAAATATAAAGCCAAAAAGTAAAACTGCCTTCCACTTATCGTGTTTACAAGGAAAGTGCACGGCGCCAGCGACGGCATCGGCATTGGCATCAGCGACGACAGACGCAGGTGATGGCAATATTTACAGACACATCTGTGTCTGTACATAAAAATCATTTCCTTCTAGGCCAAATTACAATTTTTTGATGATTTTCATTTATTAAGCACCCGGAGATCAAGAGCACTCCCAACAACGTAATTATGTAATTAGAATCCATTAACTTTTGGCGCGCTGATTGGACATGGACCTGCAACAGAAAATCCACATAAGATTGTTGCGATAAAAGAAAGTTGTACAAAAGATCGTATTTGTTATGAATCTTGGTCAGTTGTTAAATGAAGCAGCCTTATGTTGATTTATCCTTGTGGTTGACTTAGTTTCTGGCACACACACTTTCATGAAGTTTTAGACCTTCGAATCTGGGATCGATCGTGAGAGTGAAAGGTTACTTGTGTAAGTGAGCGTAAGTGAACGATAGTGAGTGAAAGCTTCCTACCATTTAGTACATTCAGTACATATTTTGTGGACTTGTCTAGATACAGAATTCAACTTTAAAGAAATACTGACATATGCAGCTTTGAGCATTGCAAGTTTTGGGCTAGTGTTCTCATTTGGTTTAGCATACTGTTCAGACCAGTATATTTTAAATTTCCTTTGATCAGAGTCGCGGGCATGTGCACGCGGCTCAATTAGTTTATAGTAATTACTCTTATCTTTAGACGCTCTTTCCCTCTACCCTATCGCAGTAATCACTCTTATCTTTAGACGCTCTTCTTATCTTTAAACTCGTAAACATTAAAGGTCTGGCACGCCGGTTTTAAGTATAAAGAAGGCTACGAAGCCAAATAAAATTCAGTTTGTGATTTAGCAACGCAACACCACTGTTTCGTTACAGCGTCTAAAGATAAGAGTAATTACTATAAACTAATTGAGCCGCGTGCACATGCCCGCGACTCTGATCAAAGGAAATTTAAAATATACTGGTCTGACTGTGGTTTGTAGTTCCGGACCCCTTTATAAAACTGGTCAAAAATGTGAACGGGCAATAATCGCAGGGGATGAAAAACATAGGGAAGCATGTGAAATTAAAATCTCCAAAAGTTTAGACAAAGGCTTTGCTAAAGAAATTAAACCGGGACAATATGTTATTGTTACTTGGGGGGAGACTTTGTACACGAGATGCGACAATACGGTAGAACATTCTGTGAAAATTCGATCCGGAACTTATTTATTTAATGTAGAGAACGGATGCGAAATTCAGGGGGATAATTATATTTTACCCGGCGTAGTTCACCAAATTGGGAAAATCGAAATCCACCCTATTCAATTAAATTTCTCTAAAGGACTAAATTTAACCGATACGATACGCGAAAACAAGGCTCTCAAACTGTTGAAAAACTTAAATCAGAAAGACCTAGCCCTCCAATCGACCGTCCCTTTAAAACAAATTACATGGAATGACAAAAGCCTTTGTGAAGATTTTATACCAGATTCTAGTAATGTGTGGGGTTATTTAGGCACTTTTGCTTTAATTATGATTGTCATTGGAATAGTTATCATAATTATACGGAAATGGTGGCTAACTAAATGTTTGAAGAAATTTCAGGGAAGATCGAAGCCGAGACCAATTACCATAGAAACAGAACCGGAATCTGCCACCCTAATTAAGGACTCGGCACCTAATGACATTCAATTTATCCCTAGGAACAAAATGACCGCAAACCCTGGACCAAGCCCACTTCAGGTGTTGTACACCCCACAGCGAGATGGGATGTTGATGTACAACGAAATAAAATAAATTAATGGCGAGCTCAATTATAATGAATTTTATCACGATATCTTTGTATAGATTATTTTTCAGGGATAATTTCCCGGTGTGGGGAGCGTTTTTACTTTTGAATTTTTCAGATTATGACCCTGGGCCTACTGTAGCCATACTTTTGAACCGTAAACTCGATGATGGTAGACTCCGCCAACCAGCGACTGTTCCACCCGAAATCCATCATCGCCGATGTCCACTGCACTTCGCCTCGCTAACGCTCCGCCGGTAAAACGAAAGCGCTTCGATCCATTTGACCCATCAGCCCTGCATCCCGGAAATAAGTGTGACCCCACAGCAAAAGTAATGGTGGACCCCCCGATGAGGAAATTATTCAAACTTCACCCTGCCCTTTGCCGACGATGGAAAGACTCAAATATCAATCTTCAAAGACTTTAAATTATAAAACGTCAATTGCCCGGTTTCCAGAGTTTTTTTTTCCCCTTTATTCAAAGACATAAATCAAAGGGTTTTATCTCTGGTTTTCCCCCGGGCCGATTCGTCATGTATATATATTGTAAATACTATCCAGAATGAATATCTTTGACGTAATTAATGAAAAAAAAAATGTGTTTTTTTTCTGGTAAAAACGGAAGGCGTGTTCAGACCAGTATATTTTAAATTTCCTTTGATCAGAGTCGCGGGCATGTGCACGCGGCTCAATTAGTTTATAGTAATTACTCTTATCTTTAGACGCTCTTTCCCTCTACCCTATCGCAGTAATCACTCTTATCTTTAGACGCTCTTCTTATCTTTAAACTCGTAAACATTAAAGGTCTGGCACGCCGGTTTTAAGTATAAAGAAGGCTACGAAGCCAAATAAAATTCAGTTTGTGATTTTGTAACGAAACAGTGGTGTTGCGTTGCTATTCTCTCTGAGCATAACTCAAGTCGGGAATCGTGTACCGAACCTTGGAACTTCACGTTTGCATTAGAGCCCTTAGGAGTAATTTTATACCCGGTGGTATATTAAAGAACTCAGTACAATACAAACTAAAAGTCCTGACCACAACTCTGCAAGCCGTTGGTCATGCAAAAGCAAATCCAGCACCCGTCTTCAGATACACAACATACATCACCACAACAACACCAACAACGGGATATTTTGAGCTCTACAAAGCAGTAACACATGAAATCGCAACTCCCATATACTCTCTGATCATCTTTCTACTGCTAATTTTTGTCACAATATGTGTCAGATGTAAAAAGAAAACCAAAAAACTACCTTGCCTTGGAGATAACAGGAGAAAGTGAGAGTGTTATGGTCACAATGCAATTGAATCCTGTCCTAACAAATTAACAATAGAAGGTTCACTGTTGGTGAAAAACATCACATTTGTTACAGGATTAAGACCAAAGATCATAATTGAATGGGGAAACATTAGGTTGTATTCAAGACATGCCCAAGTGACGTGCAGATATTGTTACCAATCACTAGAAATATTTCTTGACCAAAATACTGGAAACTTAATAAATTGACAAAAGGGGATTTTGGTGTAAATATGGTGGTACTGCACCACCATAGGATATTCTACCCAAAATTAAGTCATATTGTGCATACCATGTCAGATATTTCATTTTTGATTCCCACAGTAGAAATTCCAGAGGACTAGTTGATCCAAATGGTAAAGCCACAGTTTTGGAACTGAACTCACAAAGTGATCTTGGCATTTATCCAAGGACTTTTGGATGTTCTTTAACTTTGACTGACAACACTTCCTTTGAAGTGGTACCTTGCTCAGTTAGTCTTTCAACAATATGTTTCCTTTCAACTGCAATCTTGGTGGAGAAACCTAGCGGCTTGATCCTCAAGTACAGATGAGCACACCTTTTAACAATGCCATACAGTTAAGAAGTAGGACAATTAATAAAGTGCAGCAACAACCACAGGTACAGTAAGACAGTTACAGTTAAGAAGTAGGATAATTAATAAAGTGCAGCAACAACCACAGGTACAGTAAGACAGTTACAGTTAAGAAGTAGGACAATTAATAAGTGCAGCAACTACCACAGGTACAGTAAGACAGTTACAGTTAAGAAGTAGGACAATTAATAAAGTGCAGCAACAACCACAGGTACAGTAGGACAGTTACAGTTAAGAAGTAGGACAATTAATAAAGTGCAGCAACAACCACAGGTACAGCAAGACTTGGGCCAAGCATCACCTACTTTACTGGCGCGACAGATGGCGCTGCCAGGTGGGTGCAGAGCTTCAAACTTTTTGCCATTAATGGGCTTAACTCTGCCATTAAACAAGTAGTGATTTTGGAAAATCCGCTAACCTTAAGTGACCTCACAGACACAGCTGTTAGGGCTGAGTCTGCAACTTGCAAATCTTTAGCATCAGTAGCGTCAGTTACACCAGCAGATGTAAACAAAAAGGTAGCTGATGCCATACAATTAAACATGGCAACTTTAGTTTCTCAGATGCAAGCTGTTTTGTCCCCACAGATTAATGCACTTCAACCTACGCACAAAAAAAGGGTTCACTTTCAAGGATCAGGCTCAGATAGCAATAGGAATAGGCATAGGTCTCTATAGGCGAGGAGATCTCTAGTTGTTGTTTCTGGCTGTGAAACATACGGTCACATGTATAGGACTATTTATTAAGGTGTATGACAGGGTGATGTCACATTGACTAATGTGACATCTGGGTTCGGCTTCACCCTACCCACATCAATAGAGCTCAGTGTCCTTACTCAATGGAGCTAAAAAAACATAACCCAAAAACCGTTTGATACACATTGGTAGCCTTACACCATGGCTACGTTCATTACATACCTATCCACAAAATATGATTCTAACCGTTCGAACCACCTGTATTGTGTGTACCAGATACATATTTAATTTTTTTGTAAACATTAGAAAGAATTCATCAATACGTGATGGATAATTCCACTTGCCCAGGCATTGCCTCTCGGTCAAGCCCTGTCATGCATAAATAGTCCTATACATGTGACCGTATGTATAATTAATGTGTAACCTTCCTTATTCATAATTAATGTTGTGACAACAATACATACTAAGAGAAGGTTACAATTAAGATTCAGAATACAAAATAGTTCCTTGTATGAGATATATAAGAAGCTGGACTACCAGCAGATGACAGAAGGAATAAATGGCTCTAACCGAGGAGATCTCTTGTTGTTGTTCCTGATTGTGAAATTAGGATCAGGTATAAAAGTGGCGACAGAGCTACAGAGAAGGAGACAAAAAGAGGGACATATAGATAGAAACATGGATATAAAGGCACAGATGTAAATATAGATAGATAGATAGATAGATAGATATATAGAGAGAGAGCAAAGACCTGAGTTTTACAGTCAGTTGAATAAACCGTGTAGAAGAAAACTATATACCTGCCTGTCTCAGTTGTCTTATTGGTGAAAAGAACATCTAACAACCTGTATAACCACAGGCGGGTTATTACAATTAGATAAGAAGAGGGAACTTGTTAATGTAAGAACTTTGATACTGTAATACACACAGGTAATACAGGGTAGACTACTTTGTACTATTATCATAACTCAATAAGACAATTAAATAGTGTGGCACTCCTAGTGTGAAAAGTTATAACTCTGAGATGTTACATGTCCATCTCACCTCAGCATTGCAAGCTTCAGATATCTGTCTCCGTCTGACTGCTTAATTCCATGTACACATCACTAATAGTCACTTTTCTAAGAACCCCCATTGTATTGCATGTACTGAAATAAAAATCTGGGAGAAACTAAAGGAGTGTTGTTCCTTCTTGGCTGTGAAACTGGTCGAGAACCTGTGGTGTTTTAAGCAGTCATGTCCAAGCCTATGATCCCCGGTGGAAGGTTAACAAGATCCCAAGCACAGCAGGGGGCACAAGCTCCTCTAGTATGCCTGGGCCAGACTGTCTTTTTTTCATGCGTGAACCCCCCGTAAATCTTCATAACATTAGTTGAGTCACAGCAGTTAGTGAGAGTCACAGCAGTTAGTGAGAGTCATAGCAGTCAGAGAAGGCAGTGAGAGTGAAATTCGGGAGGTGACCAGGCTTCTCTTCAATGAAGACCTCACCAGAAAGCAGAATCTGTGTGTGATTTTTTCTAACTCTCGTAAAACTTAAAACTATTCCTGTTACGATATGAAGTTTCAAGAGAGACTTGGGGACTATTTGGACAGAGAACTTGGGAGTTTTGTTGAGAGTCTAGAGAGACCTGTTTGAGTAAGCCTTTGGTAGGTTGTTGGGATCAACATATATTCACATTCAATACACAAGATACAAGCAAACATAACTAATATAACTTATCAGTTATCAATACAACATCTAATTATACACACATATCTTAACATATGCCTTAATTACCATAAACAGCTGCCAAATTTGAATAACAATAAAATGAAAATAATAAAATACTAGGGGAAATTCCCAACAAACTTGTTTATCATGCCATCTTTACTGGAATCCATCTCATAACAATAAAATGAAAATAATAAAATACTAGGGGAAATTCCCAACAAACTTGTTTATCATGCCATCTTTACTGGAATCCATCTCATCTATGTACAAATGTTTCTTCTGAATGGTGGAACCGCCTCAAGATACTGTGGAGGAAACTTCAGCACCATCTCTTCTACATTCTGGAACTTGACCTCTGACATAGGGTTCTCAAACAACTGCTGGCATGGTTCTCGTGATGGTTGCTATGGAAACAGGGCTGTGTGAAGAATTGTGTCAAAGTTTAGAATGTGACATGTGAAGTACTATTATTATTTTTTGGGTGTATTTTTTTCAATAGCAATCCACTGTGTGGAGAACAATGTGAAAGGTAAGAATGTGACATGTAAATATTGATATTTCTCATGTTTTAAGTTTTAATAGCAATATGGAAAGAGAGGGAGTGGGTTAGAGTGTCTGGCTGCTTGTTAAAGACTAGACAGACTGAATGAAGTAACTCTTAAGAGACAGAAAAACTTTAAATATATATTCAAGTATATACCTACACATTTCTTCTGTCAAAATCAACCCTCATCCTAGCTGGGGCTGTCTGTTTGGATCACTTCTTCCAAAAATGTCAGCCTCATCTGTACTTCTATGGAGCACTTGCTGTGATCCTGGGTTCCCATTATATGTCAGCCTCACCTCTATTTCTACAAGACATATGCCCTGTTTTAATACATAGATCATTTGTATAAAGAACACTGTCAAATCAAATATTTAATATTAAACTGCTCACTCTCAATATAGCTTTAATTTGCCTATATATTGTATAAAAGTATGCTATACACAAAATCTATATATAATAGAAGAAAACCAACTTCCTCTCCAATAAATGTATGGTGTTTTGTCTTAATTGTTAAATAGAGTTTACACTGTTTAACCAAGAACTGTTCATACATGTACACAATTTTACTTACTCTTTAGTTCATGCACACGTATGCTTGAATGTATGATCTGGGTGTTTAAGTGCTTGGTGGGTCATTTGTTTTAGGTGAAGAGGGAGGCAGGCCGAGGAAAAAAACATAATATTCCATGCCTCTAATTCTTTGCTCCTTCCTTACATCAGCATGCAGACTGTAACAGACATAATATTAACGTAATATTACCACAAGATTAAGAAAACAAAGTACTGGGAAAACATTTCTACTTTAGTTATATGCCTTATGTAATGAATTGTTTGAGAATATTTTTTTATATGTCCCAAACTTCTAAAAAACGAAGTTAAGCTAACATAATTCAAGCTTGGGCTCAAAACAGGACAAAGTTTTTACATGCACAATAAAAATACAATTTGCTATGCAATATACACAAATATATATTGCAGTGCAAAGTAAAAATAACATTTAGCCCTTGTCAGTGGATGAATACATACACACAAACAAAAGTTGATATACAATTTAATGCACAGACCTGATAGATTTACAGCACGTAGGAATCGGTATGATCTTTAAAGTTTGTAATGCTCTCAGAGGTAGGCATAACACTCTGGGGAGATTTTCAGCTGGAGATTTTCAGAGCCTGTTCCTGTCTGTATGCCAGACCTGTAACCCATATGTGAAGAATAGACTTTCAAAAAGCATCTAAACTGGCTATTGTGTTTTTCCTTTAGAACTACAATTTATCTCTAAAAACAGTCACCAGCAACAGTTCCAAGGCTATACAAGCATACAACTTCTTGTTATAACAGGCCAAGTTTTTGTTACTGTAAATTGTATCTTTGATAATGAATGTTCAGGAGGAAAATGAAGCAATGTAAACGAACAATATGTCTGACTTACAAACCCCTTAAAAACTAGAAATTCTGTTGCTTTGATAAGCTTTTTAAAAATCATTTTTAAAATCATGTTTTAAAACATTGTTATAAATATACAATGTAGCTCTTACCTGTTCTCTCAGCACAAGTGTGAACTGTCTAACTCATTCTAGTGATGCTGTATCTTGCAGAGCCCCTCTGTTCATCACATTCAAGTGAGAGAATGTGAACTTCTGCTTTTCACTCTACCCCTCCTACAAGTCAGACTGCAACTATGATGTGGCACACAGCACCTTCAGCATAGCATGGCCCACCTTTTTATCAGATCATAAATCTCACCATGTGACCTTCTGTAAGATGATTCCATTGGTCACTGCAGTGGGTCACATGACTATAATGAGTGTCACCTGAAATCTTCTTGCTCTGTAACAAAGAAACACCTTCACCATTTAAATAAAGAGATAACAACTCATCTCTCCAATTAAGTTGAAAAACAGGTACATTACCTGGTCACAAACTAGTGATATGCCACCAATATAATTAAAGCACCAGGAATAATTTGCATTTCTTGATCTCTGATAAGTTTGAATATTACAATACTAATTAACGTCAAACATTGTGGACTCTACAAATCAGAGGAGCAGACATGTCATTAATTACAATGCCTGATTTCAGCCAAGATATAGACTATAATTTACAGTGTGGTACATAACAATTTAACCCAAACTTTGTGATATTAAAATCTGCAACCTACCCATCATTATTCAATGAATGCCATCAACAGTCTGAAAGATTCTTTTATCTCTTTATGAAGTGTGAGCTTACCCTGCTTTTTCTCCCAGTCCATTCAGTTGCCCCACGCCTTTTTCTGAACCAACGGCCTGTTCAAGGAAAGGAAAGCCTTGAAATAAAATGCGATAAAATAACATTAAAAGATTTGCAGCAAAAGCTAAAATTATGTGAGTGCATTGACAGCCGCCTCAAAAATCTCCAAACGTGCCCATAAAATATGCACCACAGCTGATGATGAGATGAGCTTACTTGTGCCCCAGTTTGGTGAGCCTTTCAAAGCACGTAATATTAGAATCGGAGCATAAATAAGCTCAGCTCCTGGGCTAAATTTCATGGAAACATTTGTGATGGACAGCGTCAGGAGGTAGTTACTCATACATTGTATTATCAAAATAATTATGTCAAATGTACATGTACTGTGTGGAAAAAGGAAAGAAATATCAAGGAGTTATAACAGACTTGTTAAACTCCTTGGAAATATCAAGATTAATGTACCCCACGTACTTCTGTCTCGGAAGGGGGACCGTAGCAATACTAGTCCGAAGGTTCAATAGTTCGAAGGTTCATTGGTCCGAATGTTCACTATAGAACCTTCGGACCAATGAACCCTTGATTAAAAAATCGATGAAAATGTTACCACTTTTCGGACCAATGAACCTTCGGACCAATGAACCTTCGGACTATCGAGACGCCCCCCTTGGAAGTACAACCACCTTGCGCATCACTACAACTGCATGGCATCTCTGACACGTGTGTTGTCTCATAAGCCTGGGTAATCATCTGCACAGATCAATCGTCCAGGTAGTGCTCTGCCTTATCTTATCTAGGTCATTGTGCTGAACATCACTTTCACCGTGTGACCCGCAGCCATGAATGCTATTGGACGATTGCAGTTGAACCTGTCGCATTGATAAAAATGAGTTAGTTCGGTTGCTCCGGGGAATAGTAATTATTCTACCTGACACAAAGGAAAGGGACATAGAGCAAGACGTTACATTAGCAATTTTAAAACAGTAGATCAAAGAGTTATCGCTGAAAAAGCACCACTTAGGCCAGGCAAAATTCACAACCTGTTCACAAGCGTCTCGCTGCCTGAATTGGGTTGTTAAACTCATTTAATTTTTGTTTTTGTTTTGTGTTTCTTCTTCTTCTTTTTAAACCTATGTCACACCTTAGTGTGTAGGAATAAAACAAATTAAAATGTGTCATAATGTATGGAGCAAATTTGACCTTTCTACCAAAAAAGTCTTCATTTCAAACCTCTCTTACCCGAAATAGACAGGTAAAGATGCCGCGAGCAGTTGTTCCCACGCTTCTACCCAATCAGAGTTTGCAGACTGAATGCCTCATGTAACACGATGAATGGGAAGAAACCGAAATGAAAAAACAAGACGTTTCCACTTTTTTCTTTCAAAGTTAATCTCGAAACCCCATATCACTGATGTTTACCTGTACTGATTATTGTAAAGTATGGCAATTGGTTGTTGCATGTATGAGAAACTAGGCGAAAATTCAGGGATTTTTTCTACCCTTCTACTATGAACGTCTAAATCGAACATGCCCACGAACATTTTTGAGAGGGAAAAAATGTCAAATTTCACAGTATGAGCAATGTTTGAGCACAGAAACATCAGTATTATAGTGTTTCTTGGGGTGGACTGTAATTTTTAGTTTTAGACTGAAAAAAAACATATGCAACAAAATTTCGATTTGCTGGAAAATAATAAAGGGTCGATTGCTTCCTTTTAACAACTTATCAAATTTGTCCGGCCTATATACTAAATGTACGTTTAGATTTACTTCTCAGTCCCACAGTCACTGTATAATAATAATAATAATAATAATAATAATAATAATTTATTGAACATTAAAATGTGTACAGTTACATTTTACAAGCTCTCTAAAGTTTTACATAAATTTTGCACATAAGCTTAAATAAGTATAACTACTTAGGATCATTATAATACCAAAAATACATATAAGCCAACTACTTTAGACATCATAGCTCACAATCTTAGTATGGTTTGTCCTGACGTTTGTATGATAACTTTTGAATGTTTGTCAGTTGCTAAGCTGAGACAGCACATAGCAGCCATTTAATTTTAACCACTGGATGGCAATATCATACAGAGACAAACATTTGTGAAACAAATAAATTGCTCTTTTCAGAAAGTAACAATTTTGTCCAATGGACAGTGTTATCCATAGGATAGTATACTATCCAGTGTTCATGAAACTGGTCCCAGTTTCACACACACACACACACACACACACACACACACGCNTCCCCACATCAATAGAGCTCAGTGTCCTTACTCAATGGAACAAAAAACATAACCCAAAAAGCGTTTGATACACATTGGTAGCCTTACACCATGGCTACGTTCATTACATACCTATCCACAAAATATGATTCTAACCGTTCGAACCACCTGTATTGTGTGTACCAGATACATATTTAATTTTTTTTGTAAACATTAGAAAGAATTCATCAATACGTGATGCATAATTCCACTTGCCCAGGCATTGCCTCTCGGTCAATCCCAAAGTCTCAGGATCCTCCTCTGTATTTATCTAGATATAAATAAGACACATATTACGATATAAGCTATCATCTTATAGTCTTTCATAGTGTATTGTATTGTAGTGTAATGTGTTGAATGATAGTTACTGCACTGACTATATAATATCTTGTTTATTGTATTCACATACATCACATTGTGGCACGAAACCTAAGTGCCGGGGGGAGCCATGTCATGCACCTTAATAAATAGTCCTATACATGCGACCGTATGTATAATTATTGTGTAACCTTCCTTATTCATAATTAATGTTGTGACAACAATACATACTAAGAGAAGGTTACAATTAAGATTCAGAATACAAAATAGTTCCTTGTATGAGATATATAAGAAGCTGGACTACCAGCAGATGACAGAAGGAATAAATGGCTCTAACCGAGGAGATCTCTTGTTGTTGTTCCTGATTGTGAAATTAGGATCAGGTATAAAAGTGGCGACAGAGCTACAGAGAAGGAGACAAAAAGAGGGACATATAGATAGAAACATGGATATAAAGGCACAGATGTAAATATAGATATATAGATAGATAGATAGATATAGATAGATATATAGAGAGAGAGCAAAGACCTGAGTTTTACAGTCAGTTGAATAAACCGTGTAGAAGAAAACTATATACCTGCCTGTCTCAGTTGTCTTATTGGTGAAAAGAACATCTAACAACCTGTATAACCACAGGCGGGTTATTACAATTAGATAAGAAGAGGGAACTTGTTAATGTAAGAACTTTGATACTGTAATACACACAGGTAATACAGGGTAGAGTACTTTGTACTATTATCATAACTCAATAAGACAATTAAATAGTGTGGCACTCCTAGTGTGAAAAGTTATAACTCTGAGATGTTACATGTCCATCTCACCTCAGCATTGCAAGCTTCAGATATCTGTCTCTGTCTGACTGCTTTATTCCATGTACACATCACTAATAGTCACTTTTCTAAGAACCCCCATTGTATTGCATGTACTGAAATAAAAATCTGGGAGAAACTAAAGGAGTGTTGTGTTCCTTCTTGGCTGTGAAACTGGTCGAGAACCTGTGGTGTTTTAAGCAGTCATGTCCAAGCCTATGATCCCTGGTGGAAGGTTAACAAGATCCCAAGCACAGCAGGGGGCACAAGCTCCTCTAGTATGCCTGGGCCAGAAGTGACTGTCTTTTTTTCATGCGTGAAACCCCCGTAAATCTTCATAGCATTAGTTGAGTCACAGCAGTTAGTGAGAGTCACAGCAGTTAGTGAGAGTCATAGCAGTCAGAGAAGGCAGTGAGAGTGAAATTCGGGAGGTGACCAGGCTTCTCTTCAATGAAGACCTCACCAGAAAGCAGAATTTGTGTGTGATTTTTTCTAACTCTCGTAAAACTATTCCTGTTACGATATGAAGTTTCAAGAGAGACTTGGGGACTATTTGGACAGAGAACTTGGGAGTTTTGTTGAGAGTCTAGAGAGACCTGTTTGAGTAAGCCTTTGGTAGGTTGGGATCAACATATATTCACATTCAATACACAAGATACAAGCAATCATAACTAATATAACTCATCAGTTATCAATACAACATCTAATTATACACACATATCTTAACATATGCCTTAATTACCATAAACAGCTGCCAAATTTGAATAACAATAAAATGAAAATAATAAAATACTAGGGGAAATTCCCAACAAACTTGTTTATCATGCCATCTTTACTGGAATCCATCTCATCTCTGTACAAATGTTTCTTCTGAATGGTGGAACCGCCTCAAGGGTCTGTGGAGAAAACCTCAGCACCATCTCTTCTACATTCTGGCACTTGACCTCTGACATAGGGTTCTCATACAACTGCTGGCATGGTTCTTGTGATGGTTGCTATGGAAACAGTGCTGTGTGAAGAATTGTGTCAAAGTTTAGAATGTGACATGTGAAGTGCTATTATTATCTTTTTTGGAGTGGATTTTTTTTCAATAGCAATCCACTGTGTGTAGTACGTATGAAGAACAATGTGAAAGGTTAGAATGTGATATGTGAATATTATTAATATTTCTCATATTTTAAGCTTTAATACCAATATGGAAAGAGAAGGAGTGGGTTAGAGTGTCTGACTGCTTGTTAAAGCCTAAGACAGACTGAATGTAGTGACTCTTAGGAGACAGAAAAACTTTAAATATATATTCAAGTATATATACCTACACATTTCTTCTGTCAAAATCAACCCTCATCCTAGCTGGGGCTGTCGGTTTGGATCATTTCTTCCAAAAATGTCAGCCTCATCTGTACTCCTGTGGGACACTTGCTTTGATCCTGGGTTCCCATTATATGTCAGCCTCACCTCCATTTCTGCAAGACATATGCACTGTTTTAATACACAGATCAATTGTCACTAAAAATAAAGAACACTATCAAATCAAATACGTAATATTAAACTGCTCAGTCTCAATATAGCTTTAATTTGCCTTTATATTGTATTAAAGTACTACTTCTCCAATAAATGTATGGTGTTTTGTCTTAATTGTTAAATTGAGTTTACACTGTTTACCCAGGAACTGTTCATACATGTACACAATTTTACTTACTCTTTAGGTCATGCACACTTACGCTTGTATGATTTGGATTTTTAAGTGCTTGGCGGGTCATTTTTTTGAGGGGAAGGGGGAGGTAGGCCAAGGAAAAAAGATAATATTCCATGCCTCACATTCTTTGCTCCTTCCTTACATGATGGCATGCACACTGTAACAGACATAATATTATCCCAATATTACCACAAGATTAAAAAACAAAGAACTGGGAAAACATTACTCCTTTAGTTACATGCCCTACGTAATGAATTTTTTTGTATATATCTTCAATGTTCCAAACTTCTAAAACATGAAGTTAAGTTAACATAATTCAAGCTTGGGCTCAAAACAGGACAAAATTTATACATGCATGCACGATAAAAATACAATTTGCTATGCAATATACACAAATATATTGCAGTGTAGTGCAAAGTAAAAATAACATTTAGCCCTTGTCAGTGGATGAATACATACACACACAAAAGTTGATTTATAATTTAATGCATTATAAGACATACCTAGTAGATTTACAGCACGTAGGAATCCGTATGATCTCCTATTAAGTTTGTAATAAGCTCAGAGGCAAGCAGAGACACTTTGGGGAGATTTTCAGCTGGAGATTTTCAGAGCCTGTTCCTGCCTATGTGTCAGACCTGTAAAAATGATATCAGAGTAAGACATCATATTTCTGCTTAACAATGAATAATTCTGATATTACAAAAGTGCATTTTTCACTTGTGAATAACCCACGCATGAAGAACAGACTTTCAAAAAGCATCAACACAGGCTATTGTGTTTTTTTCTTTATCTCTAAAAACAGTAACCAGCAACAGTTCCAAGGCTACACAAGCATACAACTTCATGTTTGTAACAGGACAAGTTTTTGTTCCTTTGTACCTTTGATAAAGAATGCCCAACAGAAAAATAAAACAATGTAAATTAACAATATGTCTGACTTACGAACCCTTTCAAAACTATTAATTGTTGCTTTGATACACTTTATTTAAAAATCATTTAAACATAGTTATAAGTATATAGCTCTTACCTGTTCTCTCAGCACAAGTGTGAGCTGACTAACTCATTCTAGTGATACTATATCTTGCATAGCCCCACTGTTCATCACATTCAAGTGAGAGAATGTGAACTTCTGCTTAGCACTCTACTCTTCCTACAAGTCAGCCTGCAAGTGTGCACGATGTGGCATGTAGCACTTTCAGAGCCTGGATGGCCCACCTTTTTATCAGATCATATATCTCACCATGTGACCTTCTGTAAGAAGATTCTATTGGTCACTGCAGTGGGTCATATGACTATAATGAGTGTCACCTGTAATCTTCTTGCTCTGTAACAAAGAAACACCTTCACCATTTAAATGGAGAGATAACAACTCATCTCTCCAATTAAGTTGAAAAACAGGTACATTACCTGGTCACAAACTAGTGATATGCCACCAATATAATTAAAGCACCAGGAATAATTTGCATTTCTTGATCTCTGATAAGTTTGAATATTACAATACTAATTAACGTCAAACATTGTGGACTCTACAAAATCAGAGGAGCAGACATGTCATTATAATTACAATGCCTGATTTCAGCCAAGGTATAGACTATAATTTACAGTGTGGTACATAACAATTTAACCCCAAACTTTGTGATATTAAAATCTGCAACCTACCCATCATTATTCAATGAATGCCATCAACAGTCTGAAAGATTCTTTTATCTCTTTATGAAGTGTGAGCTTACCCTGCTTTTTCTCCCAGTCCATTCAGTTGCCCTACGCCTTTTTCTGAACCAACGGCCTGTTCAAGGAAAGGAAAGCCTTGAAATAAAATGCGATAAAATAACATTAAAAGATTTGCAGCAAAAGCTAAAATTATGTGAGTGCATTGACAGCCGCCTCAAAAATCTCCAAACGTGCCCATGAAATATGCACCACAGCTGATGATGAGATGAGCTTACTTGTGCCCCAGTTTGGTGAGCCTTTCAAAGCACGTAATATTAGAATCGGAGCATAAATAAGCTCAGCTCCTGGGCTAAATTTCATGGAAACATTTGTGATGGGCAGCGTCAGGAGGTAGTTACTCATACATTGTATTATCAAAATAATTATGTCAAATGTACATGTACATGTACATATACTGTGTGGAAAAAGGAAAGAAATATCAAGATTAATGTACCCAACGTACTTCTGTCTTGGAAGTACAACCACCTTGAGCATCACTACAACTGCATGGCATTTCTGACACGTGTGTTGTCTCATAAGCCTGGGTAATCATCTGCACAGATCAATCGTCCAGGTAGTGCTCTGCCCTATCTTATCTAGGTCATTGTGCTGAACATCACTTTCACCGTGTGACCCGCAGCCATGAATGCTATTGGACGATTGCAGTTGAACCTGTCGCATTGATAAAAATGAGTTAGTCCGGTTGCTCCGGGGAATAGTAATTATTCTCCCTGACACAAAAGAAAAGAACATAGAGCGAGACGTTACATTAGGAATTTTAAAACAGTAGATCAAAGAGTTAGCGCTGAAAAAGCACCACTTAGGCCAGGCGAAATTCACAAGTTGTTCACAAGCGTCTCGCTGTAAATTGGGTTGTTAGACCTATGTAAGTGTGCAGGGATTTTAAAAAAATTAAAATGTGTCACAACGTAGAGAGCAAATTTGACTTTTGGGGAGAAAAATAAATTTTCTAAATAAATAAATTTTTAAAAAAGTCTTCATTGCAAACCTCTCTTACCCGAAATAGACAGGTAAAGATGCCGCGAGCAGTTGTTCCCACGCTTCTACCCAATCAGAGTTCGCGGAATGAAAACTAGTCCTAAACTACTTGTAACACGATGAATGGGAAGAAACCGAAATGAAAAAACAAGACGTTTCCACTTTTTTCTTTCAAAGTTTATCTCGAAACCCCATCATAGATGTTTACTTGTACTGATTCATGGCTTGGTTGTTGCGTGTATGAGAAACTAGGCGAAAATTCAGGGATTATTTCTACCTTTCTCCTATGAACGTCTAAATCAAACACGCCCACGAACATTTTTGAGAGGGAGAAAATGTCAAATTCACAGTATGAGCAATGTTTGAGCACAAAAACGTCAGCATTACAGTGTTTCTTTGGGTAGATTGTAATTTTTAGTTTTAGATCGAAAAAATATATATTTGCCACAAAATTTCGATTTTCTGGAAAATAATAAAGGGTCGATTGCTTCCTTTTAACAACTTATCAAATTTGTCCGGCCTATATACTAAATGTACGTTTAGATTTACTTCTCAGTCCCACAATCACTGTATAATAATAATAATAATAATAATAATAATAATAATAATAATAATAATAATAATAAATTGAACATTAAATGGGTACAGTTACATTTTACAAGCTTTCTAAAGTTTTACATAAATTTTGCACATAAGCTTAAATAGGCTAAGTATAACTACTTAGGATCATTATAATACCAAAAATACATATGAGCTAACTACTTTAGACATATAGCTCACAATAGTAATGTAAGATACAATCTTAGTATGGTTTGTCCTGACGTTTGTATGATTACTTTTGAATGTTTGTCAGTTGCTAAGCTGAGACAGCACATAGCAGCCATTTAATTTTAACCACTGGATGGCAATATCATACAGAGACAAACATTTGTGAAACAAATAAATTACTCTTTTCAGAAAGTAACAATTTTGGCCAATGGACAGTGTTATCCACAGGATAGTATACTATCCAGTGTTCATGAAACTGGTCCCAGTTTCACACACACACTCACACACACACACACACACACACACACACACACACACACACACACGCAAAAAAAAAAAATAAAATAAAAATAAAAAAAAAAAACTCAAGTCAGTAGTTCTCTGGCTTTAAGGGTGCATTCCCAGAGATTTAGATCGATCCAAATATTTAGATTTAGATCGACCTAACTCCCTGGGGGTTCACGCTAAATTGCAGTCAGCCGAGCGCGCACAATAGTTAATTACCCCCTTACAGCTTTTAGTAGGCGGGACAGACGCTTAAGCGGCTAAGCTGACAGTAACCTAGTGAGACTCCCCACAGGGATAGATCGATCTAAAATCTATGGGAATGGGTTCTTAGACCCCATTTCCAGAGATTAGATCGATCTACTTTAGAGCGACCTAACTCCCTGGGGGTTCAAGCTAAATAGCTGTCAGCCGGGCGGACACGACAGTTAATTACCCCCTTACAGCTTGTAGTAGGCGGGACGGACATTTAAGCCGGATTATCTGACAGTAATCTAGTGAGACTCCCCGCGGGGATAGATCGATCTAAAAGCTCTGGGAATACAGCCTTACACCCCATTTCCATAGATTAGATCGACTTACTTTAGATCGACCTAACTCCCTGGGGGTTCACGCTAGATAGCTGTCAGCCGGGCGGACACGAAAGTTAATTACCCCCTTACAGCTTGTAGTAGGCGGGACGGACATTTAAGTCGGATTATCTGAAAGTAATCTAGTGAGACTCCCCGCGGGGATAGATCGATCTAAAATCTATGGGAATAGAGCCTTAGTTGACTAGGATTTCCATGAGAGTGCTGTTACACTACACCTGATAGGATAAGATGGGGCTATGTGACCATGTAACCTTGGTAATTATAAGTTCTTAGCCAGAGAACCTGACTTAATTTAGTGAAACCGTGGCCTGTGCCCAGCTGTCTTTCGGTATCAGGATATGGTAAGCTGGAAGCTCGCCTCAGACTTTGTAACCAATTTTCTGCTTCAGTCTCTGACTCTCAGGGTGTTGGCGTTTGCCTCGTCTGGAACTGTTTAGAGGGTCCCACTGGGTATTTTTTTTTTCTAGTGAAAGCTACTTTTTATTTCTCAAGATGAAACGATATAATTTAGCGTGATCCGTAAAGCACCCCATTCCCATGAATGCGAATGCGGCTTCTTATTCTTCGTCCTACGAGAAACGAAGTCATATTATGCTCGATGATTCGTGATTTTGAAGTCACATCTTTCAATGATATTATGAATAAAGTTTAATTTAATTACTGTGATTTGCGAATTGACGATTTTAATTAATTATTTCCCGTGAACTGTGACCAATCTCCCCTCCCCCAACTGCCCCTCTATTTCGTGTGCTACGAAACCCTGGACCCTTATCAAAATGGATTTTCGCCGAGTCACTGGCAACCTTTGCTCACGGACAAAGAATAGGCCTACTTGTATTCCTTGCACAACGACGGCGCAAACACGGCTCCAGAACATGACGGCATGCTTTGGAGCAGTTATAATAGGTCATATTTCATTGACTATTAACCACTTGCCTCTAGTGCAAGAGCACTGGGAGCGCTGTCAGTAGAGCCAACCTAACCCATCCTCTTCAGCCTCTTCCAGACCAAGAACACATGTATTGATTGTACGGCCGTGACCGCACGTGTGCCGCGACTGAGAGGTTACTGTACAGAGAGCTGCTGCCTAAAGAGTGAACGGTTACTGACCTAAGAGCAAGAGATATCCAGAGGTATGTACCGTAAAAACAATGCTCCATTATTGTTACGTACGAATATCATATCAGCTAGTGCTTCGGATCCGATTCTATGTAGCGGTTGCCGTTCATGCGTCAAGACAGACACAGAATAGCCATATTATTTTCTTTATCTGTGCCCTGCTATGAGGTCCGTAACCTTATTGACAGAAATCCAGTCTTGTTTTTGTATTGCAGCCACTTGTTGCATTTTATCATCTCGAATGTTTCAAAGCTAAACAATGAGGCAACCAATACAAATAAATCGCAAAACGCGCTTAACAATTACTTGGTTTAAAATACGCAGGCTCATTTTATTGGGATTTATTCTTTGTACTATTTTTTTAAATTTGATTTAATTTATTTATTTATCATTATTATTGTTATTATTTTTATTGTTGCGTTCATGAAGATATACCAGGCCGTCTCGTATCATTCAATATAATTGCATATTTCATTCCATAAAAATATTCCGATGCGGGTGTTAATTGCGAGCACCAGTATAGTGTCTTTTAGTTTTATGTAGATTAAAAGGTTTCACTTGATTAAAAGCCTGATGGTGCTATATCAACCATTTTTAACAAACAACACGCAAGTATATTGCACAGGAGTCGGTGGTGTGATGAATGAAAATTCACATATTCTGGCCATGCATGGTACCACAAATTGAACTAAATGCAGTTCTCAGTTACCAAGCTAGAAAGAAAAAAAATTAATAAAATACTGACGAGGCGCCGTTTCTTAATTAAGGCATACATACGCGCCATTTCATGCGTTTCAAATATCTGGAGAGTTAACTGGAGTCGCAGGAGCTGATCCAGAAACTTTTGCAGCAATGGTGCATAACGGACATCATATATACTTGGACCACAAGGTCTTTCATTGAACGAAAATCTGGCTTTATTATAAATGCAAATTGGTTTGATAACATTGTAAAGACAGTAAACATAATTTTGAAAGAATCCAGCATTAATTACAGTTTGTAAAAAATAATAGGGCCTAACTTAATTTTGGAACTTGAAAAACTTTGGAAAGCTAGATAAGGCGCTGCCTTTGCATATGCAGAGTGCTCTAGAGATAAATGATATTTTCGGAGAATGATATTTTCGGAGATCTGTCACCCTGAGTTTTAAAGTTCACTGGAAACTCGCCTTCATACTATCAGCATGCCCCCGTCTTCTACAGTCATATTGCGGACCCCTTAGGGACCATTCCCAGAGCCTATCGCACTAACTGTGGATCGATCTATCTCCAAAGGGTTCTCGCTAAATTGCAGCTTAGATATTTGTCACGCCTACTGAAGCTGCTAGGGGGTAATTAATTATCGTTTAGCATCTTCAGTAGGCGTGCCAGACATCTAAGCCGCTTAAGCTAAAAGCAATTTAGCGAGAAACCCCTAGGAGATGGATCGATCCTGTTAGGTCGATCTAGGTATGGGAAACCAGTCCTACATTTAGGATGCGGATGTGTTGATAAGACCTGCTCCTTCCAGAAAGCCGAAACATGGTGCATTAATTAAGTTAGTAAACCTGGAACAGCATGCCTCTGATGCTCGCCGCGTGTCGTTCACGGGGCTTTCGACAAGACACAGCTTTCTAACACAACCCTCAAACAAAGAGCCCCTCCTCAAGCAACAAAGTCCGGCCGTTGCTTGTTACAGAAATCTCTGAAACTCAGGGTAGCCTACATTTCTGTGACCTGGATTAATTGCATCTGATTTGTAATAGCAAATATCAAGAACATCACATGGGATAAACGGGATAAGGACCAGGTCAAATGTGAGGTTACTTTATAATCAGAAAGTAGAGGTCGAGTGTGCTTGTACTAGTTTGGTGAGTAATATACTGTATGTATATTTTATTATACAAATTGTCATAAACAACATTATGTTGTTAGGTACACAGACCATCCAGCCAACGTATCATATTGCCTTTTTAGCAGTGTACCCGTATTGTCTCTAGGATCTCTTTGTTTTAGCTACGTGTTTTGTTATTATATAGAACATCGATTAAAACACGATAAATAGTGTAGTGAATTTAGGTATTTTGCTGAAATTGGAAACCCTAATTGACTTATTAAGATAAGAAACACTTTGGGCATGTTTAAATCATCTGTCTGTGAAGAGAAAGCTAGGGCGGTACATATAGAAACCTTAAAGGGATAATAACTCTTCGTATGAGATCTATATTTAACAATAAAAACATTGTGAACAACTCATAGAAATATAATATATTCTGTTTTACCACAAAAACGGCAGTAATAGCTATATATTATTCTGATATCTGGGCTTAGCTGTAGATCATGTGACCTGCATTGATGGCTAAACTTTTTAGAAAAAAACCAGGGACTAAATTTGGATGTAAAAATGGATTCATTAACCATTGGTAAGTATAGGTTAATTGTTGTTTACTCCAGGAAAATTCTTTTTTTTTTTTTTTGGGGGGGGGGGGGAGCAAAATGAAGAGTTATTATTCCTTTAACTTCACGACTGACCTCTGAGTTTCTAGTATGATGCCTACTCAATATCGGTTTTGTCTTCTTTCTGTTATCTTCAATGACCTTTATCTCACTTATATGTTACCAAATGTTACCAAAGGTTTTCAGAGGTTATGACCTATTTCGGGAATGTGTTACAATTGGCTTTTGTGATCAATTCTTGTCTATTTTAAAATATATGTTTTTAACTATGATAGATGCAACGAACAGGTTGAGATACCTAGTATAAAGATCAAGGATAAACGCGAAACCAATAACATGCCTTTTAATTATAGCGTTTATGACCTATATTCACTTTCATTTTTATTCCACTGGTAATCAGCATCCATTCCTTCTTTACTAGTACTACGTACATGACTTAAAACAATTCGCGACATCCATGCATACATGTGAAGAAGTTCACGGTTTATTCTTCAAACAAGACCTCCATTTGTTCATTAATTAAGACAATAATTAAATTTTAGGGACGGTATTTGTATATAAAGGATTTGCCACAAAGTTCCCCCGTTGTTTCAGCTCAGTGGTTTACAGCTAGCGGTCGGAACACCCGGAGTTTGAGCATTAGCCGGAAACGTACCACTCATACATGTAAGGGTCCATTCCCAATGAAACTATTGTTCTACGTAGAGGGATCCAACTCCGGGGACTCTCGCTGAATGCAATCCGATTAAAAGATTAACGCGCTTCCTCCTGGCGTATATTAGACTTCAGAAAAGTTGAGTACGTTGGAAACAAGAATGGCGTGATGATATGTTAATTTGATTGCATTCACCGAGAGTCCAGGCGGAGTTGGATCGATCTACGTAGAAACATAGTTTTATTGGGAATGGGGCCTTGGGTCAGTTTCACATCGTGCGGTACATTTAAAAAAAGTATGCCTCTGTCATTTCCAGTACCCAAAGTTTTACTGTGACCTCTGGAACTCGGGGCGATTTACTGGATCTAGACCTGAACAGGGGCGGATCCAGAGATATTTTCTGACGGTCTTCCAAATTATCTTTGTTGATACATCATCCATTTTTGACCGTCTTCCCACAGACAAAAAGAGATACCCGTCAATGTTAACTTTAAATTCTGACCGGCTTCCAGAAGACCCAGAAGACGGTCTCAATCCACCCTTGATTGAATCATAAAATCTTTTACTGACGGAATTGAGACTTGTTAAACATATAGAGTTCTTTAACACAAAACGTAGATACTGGATAACAAATTGCATGCAATTTTGACTCCAGAGATGAGTGCGTCTAGACATAAACCTGACCTCAGCTTAAATTGTTGGGAGGGGGACTTAATTGGTGAATAATAAGTATCATTGATAGGTCACCGGGTGTCAATTTTCGGGCAATTCCGACAGCGGTCACATCTAATATATGTATGTATGTAGACATAAGCCAGGCCTTAGTTAAAACTGATGGGAACGAGACATACTTAATTAACACACCTCATGGAAGCTTGGTATCATTTTGCGTGATACTCTTTATCAGTTACACTGAGCAATAATATAATACGGGTTTTCTGGGTCCATATATCAATATATCGATATAGATCATAGTAAGATTTTTGTCAGCGTAGAACACACAGGCTGCTATACAACAAACTGGCTCAAAAATACACCCGAACCGACATTTTTCTGAAATAATTTTACTGCACAGTGCATTTTTGGGGGTCTGTGTGGTTATTCAGTGGTTAGGCCTACCTCTTCAGTTGCACAAGAGCTAATATGGACAATTGACAATGATTTAATTTGCTAGAGACTAATAGACTTGGTCTTCTTGCTTTATATTATTGGTGAAAACGTTTAGTTTTAATATATGACCACATTATACATGTAGTATATCAGACGAACATTTCTGTTATCACACTTCGTCCTTCCAACTCCTTGGTCCTTCATAATTTGAACTTTCAATTTTTACACAATGAAAGAAGCAACGTTTGAGATATAATTTTACAGGTTGTCAGGGTCACCAGAAGAAGAAGCTCTTTTTGTGAACTTACTTGAAAATATATTTATAAAACTTTCATAGAGTGTTTTGTATTGGTATGCTTTCAAGGACAGCGCAGTTGTTATTGTTTACACTATAATGTGACCCTTGCGTTTCTGAGTAAAAATCACTGTTATTTGCTGCTTATGAAACAGTTCACAAGTGAGAACAACAGTCTAGCCCCTAAGTGAAAAGGGACCGACACACAACTGAATAAGTCGTGAAATGTTTTTTTTTTTTTTTTTTACATTTCTCAAACAATCTTTTTATATATTTTTATGTGTGTGAATAACAAGCACTGGTGTACTTGTATGCTCGATCGTGTAAACAAGAGGGAGAGAAAATGTGTGTGTGTGTGTGTGTGATAGAGAGAGAGAGAGAGAGAGAAAGAGAGAGAGAGAGAACCACCTTCCCCTAAATAACAATGTTTCTAGCATGTTTTTGGTCACGTTTTAGCCTGCCCCATCTATTTTGCCGTCTTTAAAAATCTACCGAATTAATTCGACTCCATTATAAATAGATTTTATCACTTGCAGACTAATGTCTCAATGAAGTCTGAAATTTAAGTACAGTTATACTCTCTAAGGAAAAGAATCGTCCACTTTACACGACTAATTTAACGAAAAAGATCAACAGATATGGGTACTTTGCAAGTCAGCGATCTTGGGCCCAGCGCACACAGTGATTTGGCAGCTGAGCTACGCGCCTGTTCAAGACAAGACCCTTAAATAAGCAAGAAAGCGTGCATGCTACGCTATTCTTTATGTCTCCCGCGGTTCAACAACACGCTGCGTCGACAGTTTTGCGGTACCATTAGCTCAGCTCTTCAGTTACCAAGTAAGCCGGGCTTTCAGGTAAAATCCTTTACTGCAAATTGCAGAGGCGGTTTTTAAGCACTCATACGTATGGCAGATATGCCTCACGATAATCGTAATATACCACGGACATATGGTGTGATATGCAAAGCTGGTTGTTTTTATGATTGGAGAATGACAGACAGAAGTGCCTGCGTTTGGCAGAGACTCCTGTGTTACATTAGATTCCCTCTCTATAGTCAATCAGCTACCTGTTTATTGACTTTGATGAAGAGCAGCTTTGACACCTGAGCACTTAATGTAGACAGGGGAATGCGTTCGTGATAAACCAGGCTTCTTTTTTACTTGACGATACTGAAAGTTTCTTTTAAAATTACAGCCGAATCGAAAGGTGAGTTTTGACAGCTTTTCTATTTATCCTTAGTGTCGGTCTTTTAGTAGACAATGTGGTATTTTAATGAGAAGCTGTTTGCTGCGAAGAAGCTTGATTGGTATATAAAAAAAGTGGCATTTAATGATTTGCCGTAAACCTAGCCGGGTACTTATCATATGTTCATATTGTAAAATTACTGTTTCAGTTGGGGATTTGTTTTTAAAAGCGATAATTGAAGCACTTCATATTATACACATGCTGGTAAAAGCGCAAGTTAAATGTAACCTTCAGTTTTTACTTACAAAAGATCGGAATAAAAATGAATGCCGAGTGCAGGAATAACATATGAAGTGAGTAATATATAAAGGGAAGCGATTTCTTTCTTTGGTTTTCATTTACTTACTCTAAGAGTACATGACTCTAAATATTGCTGCCATGATGGATGACGAAAATAATCTTGATGCATCTTTATTTTAATCTGCATAGGTCTTATGTTGTAAATTGTCCACTATTAAAGAGAGGTCAAAGAGTAGTTAAGATATGTATGACGATATGTGGTCGAACGTTGAGTTGTTGTACCAGTGAAATACTACAAGATAAGCCTCGTAATTTTAAATTAAAATAAAAAACGTGCGTTAAACTTGGACAAGTTCCGTGGTTAAACAACAGCGTCGTTATAGATATTAATCAGGAGAATAATTACATAGCGGTTAAAAACGGTGCACGTATTTCCGCCCACTGTGGTGGCATATCGCAAAGCTTGATATTCACTGAAAAGGATTATTTCACGGAATAATTGTATTAATTGGCCTAAGTTTTCTCACCAGTTTTTATAGTCTACTTTGATAGATTTATAGCAGTCCAGTGTTTTATAATAAATATGACACGGCTAATGCTCTGGAACAACAGTTATATTATTTTCTTGGGCTACTAAGGACTTATATGAACCGGTACAAAGTAAAACCAACATGTTCGGGTTAAAGTTGATACCAAATTACGGACTGTAATTCTTCTAGGGAAACGTGTGAAAGAAATGGTAATCTGATGGGAATTGTAGTCCGTTTACCATTTCCTTGTACAGTGTTGGGTGTAGGAGGTGTTAGGGGGGGTCCTGACCCCCTCCTTCGATTTCTGGGAAAAAATCACACCAATGGTCGCCTCTTGAAATTAGAATTTTGACCAGCTGAATCATAGTTCTAAACCGTACCAAATGGTACCGTTCACCCTATATAATACCAAAACTTTTCGGGCCCTTCAGCGGGCCCCGAACCCCACGCCAAGGGGAGGGTCGGTTTCGCATCCGCATTGCCCTGGCGAATATTGTTCAAGATCTGTGCATACGCGTCGGATTTTATCCAATGGAATAAAAAACGAAAACATATTTGTTAAGACACTGGCAACTCTTGTTCTCAAGTGATACACCAAACAAAAAAACATTATCTTTCTCATTATCCCTAATATTTAATATACAGGGTGTTGGATTCTTCGATACAAGCACTAGCTTACACGTATAGGCCTACTAGTAACGAACTCGAACTGAGCAAGTGTTCCCTATTTGATAAACGTGAACGGAAGCAAATACAAAAAATTGAGTAAATGTAACTTCTGCTCGACCGGAATTTGATACTGTTAGTACGATTTTTTTTAGCTTTTTCCAGACTATTATTCAAACCAAGGTCGCACGCGTTGGTCAAGCGTAAAAATAAAAGTATCGATTACGTAATCAGACTGACGTTCTGCCCTTCAGTAAGAACTGAAGTAAAATCGCAGCAAAACAGGCAGTCGTGCGAAATGTAACCTGCGCGTTGAAGCAATATCGGTAAATACTTTCTCAAAATTGAGTTTTTTTCTTTGCTCGAGCAGAAACATATTCATTTCAGTGTTCCTGTTCCAATGTATCAGCGTTTTCCAGACGATATAATTTAGGTCTTTAATTTGTCTGTTTTCCAGACTTTGCCAGCGGAGCCATGCGTCGAGTTTCTATGTTGTTGGTGATCTCGTTTCTGGCAGCCGTGGTCTGGGCGGCGGATTATGCAGGTATGAATGCAAATATTGTTACTGTATTAATTACAATTGTCCAGAATCTGGTTGGCGGCGTGGCTAGGATTAGTTAAGAGGCGAGGCTGCATGCTCCTGATGTAATTTTTGTATCGAAGTAAATATCGCTGGTGGGAAAGGCGCAAAGCGATATAATGTGTGTGTGTGTGTGAGGGGGGATAGCTTTCTGGTTTTATGAAAATTGAGGGGAATTCATACTGTGTCATACATTCTGTCTGTACATATACCCATCACCGATAACGGTGACTGAAGTAAAATGGCACTCAAAAAAAAAAAAAAACGCTCAATGATTTCTTAATTAATACCAATAACATTATATTGAAACAGGAAAATGAATTGTGTGTTTTAGGACTGGGTCCGAGAGGAACTGACCATGTACTTGTTTTTCGAATTTTCGTAAACATTTTCAAGCAAACATGTCAAGGATTGAGGATAACTTTCGTCAACGTAAACACGTTTTGTAACGCGTGACGTAAATCTGTTGATTAAATAACCCCTTTTTGGGGTAGTTGGTATTCCCTTGGAACGTTACAGAAGTCAGATGTTTAATGCCAAAACTTGCATCTCAACAACCGAAGTATTAAATGTCTGCTTAAACAGTAAAAAAATAAACCCCTATGCAATATCTGCTTGTCTGTTTGCCTGTGTGTGCATCCATGTTTTTTTATACTTCATTTATTTGCCTAAAGCATTCCCATTCGTAAAATTTTCAAAAAATAATTTCCACAGTGTGGAAGGAGTAAACATTTTGTATGTAATGGCAAACATATCTTTTGCAGACGACAACCAGCACCCCTGTGCGCGCGAGTGTAAACATGGCGACACTCCGATGATCTGCGAGTACGACTTCACTGTGGAATGGTATTACGTCCTCAGTAAGGCGTGTCAAGACTGTCCCCTAAACCAGACCGATTGCGACAGTCCAGAATGCATTGCGGCAGACGGCGTCCAGAGGGCAATTACGGTGGTGAATAGACGGATGCCGGGACCTGGAATTTTTGTAAGTGCTATTTTCTTTATTTACTTAACCATTTGATTATCATTAATTTATTCTCATTTTCTTCTTTTGTTATCTATTTACTTATGTGCTTATGAAACTACTGAGAGGTGGAATAAAGGACTGTCAGAATTGGTTAAGCACGTAGAATAGTTTAATTTGCAGGAAATTAATCTTGAAGCAATAACACTACGCTTTGAAGATTTATTAAGAGCAACACGCAAAAATTAATTGCATTAATATTTTTTTAAAATGCAGTCCTGTACTTGCAAAGGATATCTTTTTCACCGCGGAAATAGTTTATGCGGCTTTTTTGTGCTATGCATTTCCTTCGAGGCTGCAGTCGTTAAGGCTCTTATAATCCATGTGACGTCATACATGAAACATTATTTCAATCAAATATCAAAGGCAACAAGAACCTTGAAAAGAAAAAAAAACGCAGCTGCTTCCTCCTCGTCGTGTCATTTATACATGCATCTCAAATAACAGTGTTTTTACGCATTTAGATAAAAATATCTTGCCGTATAATCATTTATTACGCCAATTATCTTACCAATCGGCTCTAAATATAACGTCCCAAAGGTCACCTTCATCCGCTCTGCACGTAATCACGTCTTAATGATGACCTCTGTTCTCACGTTGTGATATAATTTGAAGATGGAAAATCTCTTGCATATGCATATGCATATGCCTTGGTAATTAAGTACATTATATCATGCAATAAATAAATAAGTAAATGTATTAATTAATTAAACGTAATCGAAGATAAATGAATATATAATACATAAAGCAATGTTATAACTAAATATTCCCCAGCAGTGTGACATTGGACAATTTTTTTTCATATACTTTGCAACGCTTCTGTGTCCTTACTTGTAAGCAGTAAATTTCTCATTCTTTTTTCATTAGTGCATATAATTTAAGTACCATTTAAAATGCACTATTTGTAGTCCCCATACACAGTTACTCATATAGTTTTGGGATAGCGTCTGGAATACCACTTTTTAATAGTTTTGATTAAATAATAATGCACTGTACAGAACAAGACAGATGTAGGTCGACGTCATAATGATTTGATTACAATTGAACCATGCTGGTCAATATCGATGATTTAATACAGTTTCTGAATAAGAGCATTCTGTCGCCTGCTAATTGATGATAAAATCAAGCACGGTAACACAAGTTGCAATACAATACATTTCAGGAATGTGTTTAATCATGTATTTAATAGATATGTTGTTGATGTCATCAGTAACACTTTTGGTAAATGATGACGTCAGAGGCCGTCACGTCCTATTAACGGGTTTTTGCAGCCGGTCACAGTCCACGAACATATTTTTCTATGACACTGCTAGTTGCTTTGGCTAAAATGGCAATTCTTTCCTTCATTTTAAGGTATGTCACAATGACACTATATCGGTAACAGTGCGTAACAAACTTATGACGTCAGATGTCGTCACAATCCACTGGCATGGAATATCTCAGCGGGGAACGCAGTATATGGACGGGGTACCTATGGTAACTCAGTGCCCAATACATTCCTACAGCTCATTCAGATATAAGTAAGTCTGATATGTTTATCAACTCCAAGTTATGTTGCCGTTTGATACGTATTGTAATGAGAATGTAACTTCCTTGATAATATACTTGCCTCAAAGTATCCAATTATCTCAGTAAGGAATTAGAAAAAAAGGTAACATGATTTCTTACTTGGTGATGTCTATGTCAAACAGTTGTCGAAGAAAGTATATGTTTCTATCGTAAGTCAGCACCTGCAATTTTTGTTTCAACAAAGCAAAGACGCAAAAGAGAGAACGGTTCAAAGTAGACAAAAAAAGTTATGGACCGCGTGTCTTTAAAACTCGCGACGCGTGATACAGGGTCGGATTGAACACATTGGATCTACATCAATATGATTTATTTACGAGTTTGTATTTTCAAGCTTCAAAGCTGAGGAGGCGGGATCCCATTTTTGGCACGCGCACTCCGGTTTCCAGAGAGCCGATGGTGTCGTTGGTCCACTAGTGGTCAGGCAGCCTCGGTCTGAGGACCCTCACAGCAACCTGTATGACCTTGACCTCACAGAGCATTACATCACTGTGACAGAGTGGTTGGGAGAGCTGACCATTAATAAGTTTGAGAGACACCATCACAAGCACGGGGACACCATGCCGCAGTCTATGTTGATCAATGGTGTGTGTGTGTGTGTGTGTTTGTGTGTGTGTGTGTGTGACGTATCTGTATAACGTAAATTCACATAATAACAATATGATTGTGTTTTTGCACCCTTTTTTAACAAGTGCTTTAATCTTGGTTTTATGATGTATGATCAAATGTCAAATATTTATTTATTATTTAAAATATTTATTTTGACTTCATATTATTGGCGATATTCAAATCCATTCACAAGAAATTTAAAGATTATCAGCTTTTCACAGAAATAACATTTAAGAAAGTTACGATTAATCTTTTTATTTTACAGGTAAGGGAGCATTCAAAGGCTATCACAACCACGTCACAAACGAACACGTGTTCACGCCATACGCTTACTTCCACGTCACACCCGGCAAAAGACATCGCTTCCGTATGACCAGTAACGGGATAGTAGACTGTCCGATACAATTTTCCATCGATGGCCATAACTTGACCATTATAGCCACTGACGGCTACCCGGTGGTCCCCCACGTTGTGGAATCACTGGTCATCATCTCTGGGGAACGTTATGATTTTGTCCTTCACGCCGGGAAAGATGCCAGCGCAGGGAACTTTTGGATACGCACGGCAGGGTTGACGAACTGCGCAGGGAAGAAGGCGCGTCAGTTAGCGGTGTTGAGGTACCACGGCGCACCTGAAGAGCTGCCGAGGGGACCAACAGATTATGATAGTATGCTGCGAGGGGGAAAGGTAAATTATAGCCTTCAAATAATTTCTTTTCGATGGTCAATACGGAACAAAGCTAACTGCTTTAGGATATGCAGTTGACCTAGATATAATAAGTATTGTCACAAAATTAAACAGAGATGGAATCAATAAAGAAGAATATATATTGAATTTATAAATGTAAGCATACACAAAATTAAATATAATATGGTTGCCATTACCGTTATTCTATAAATCGTAAATGATTTCTTTTTTGACAACAAATTAGCAACTTAATCCACCCGATGGTAACGTAGAAGATGACAAAGAGAGGCTATCTTCGGTAGCACAACTACACAGCGTCGTGCCCGACGACGCCACGTCACAAAAAGATGCTGACGTCACATTTTACCTCGTGATGGACTATAACAGTATGCATAGCATGAAACATGGCGGTCATGACTCGGATAAGGATGAGGGTAACCAGATGGATCAGTCAAACCATAACATGAATAATGATGGTCAACAAATGGACCACAGTAAACACCAAATTACCAATGGTCAGTCAATGGAAAGTGGACATCAGTCGAGTGCCATGGGTGATATGAAAGCATCGCAAACCAATGATACGGTTACTCATGGAGGGAATCAGTCAATGGCACAAGGGACTACCATGACCAACCCACGCGTGGTAGGAGAGAGAAAAAAGAGGAATGCCGAGGGCCATACTGCTTATAACTCGCAAAATAATAATGGAGAAAGCCAACCAAATAACACCAGTGTGTCTCCTCCTATGATTCCACAAGATAAAAACAAAACCTCCAGTGCCCAACATATGGGCAGTGATCAGGACATGTCCGGCAACGAAAATGACCATAACATGAGAACGAGGACACCGAGCGGTCATCATGGTATGGCGGCTGTAAATGGTGGTCATAGTGACCAACAACCGACGGATTCCCGACACAGTGGACACGTGATGACCGCAGGTGGCGGTACAATGGCGCACTCTTCCACGGAGAAAGGTAGGATGGCTAATGCAAGCACGGATCATTCAAGCATGAACCATTCTGCCATGGGTAATTCTGGCATGGACCATTCTAGCATGGACCATTCTACCATGGGTAATTCTAGCATGGACCATTCTGCCATGGGTAATTCTGGCATGGACCATTCTAGCATGGACCATTCTACCATGGGAAATTCTGGCGTGGGCAATTCTGGCATGGACCACTCTAACATAGGTCACTCTAACATGGGTAATTCAGCCATGGACGATTCTAGCATGGACCATTCTAACATGGTTCACTCTAAAATGGGTAATTCCAGCATGGGTCACCACGGAATGGACTCCAGTGCTCATCACATTCATAGTCCACAAATCAACCAAATTACGATGACTTTCCCGCCAAAACCTCTGCTATCCCAGTTTAATGAAATACCAGAGGTGAGTCCCAGTGAACAAAAAGGTACTCCTTCTCTTACGTTCTTCAAGCTACTGAATCTTTTGTACATGTATTAATTTCTATTGATTTCATGTCATAGGTTTAACCGCCCAATTTTCGTTACACGTACGGCCCACATCATAGTCGGTAGATACAATGTAGGCCCTATGAATCATATATTTGGTCTTAATATTTTGCTCTATCATGTCACTTTACGGCGGTCCCTCTGGAGGACTTTTCAAATCCATATTCCCACAAAGTTGAAAAAAGACGCTATCTGCCAACAGAACCAAATCTCACGATTCAATTATCAGGTGGATGGTGTAGGTGGAATAAGACAATAAATATTGTAACCCCATTGCTTATTTTCTTCCATCCGTCAATATTACAACCGTTTTCATTTCAGGGGCAGTTCTGCAACCACACAACACACACGAACTGTATGCACGGCGCGTGTGAGTGTACGTACCTGCTGGAGGTCGAGTACGGCCAGGTGGTGGAGCTCGTGATGGTTGACCTCATGGGCACCAAGGACTCTCACCACCCGATGCATCTACATGGACAGCCATTCAGGGTGATGGCTATGCACAAAGTAAGGCCCCATTCCCAAAGCACACCATCGGTCTACGTAGATCGATCCGTCTCTTTGGGGACTCTCGCTGAATGCAGTCAGTTTTACAGATTAAAACGTCTCCTCTTGCCGTAAAGGAGGACACAGAAATGATGGTAATTGAACTTGAACGTTTGAAACTAGAGGAGTGCCATTCAGTTAAGCTGATTGCACTCAGCGAAAGTCCCCGCAGAGTTGGATCGCCTTTTTTGTCTTATGGGCATATAATGCCCGTTATACCTTGATTCAGCAAGCTGGATTAATTTTCCTCATGATTTAAATAATTTTCTCTTTTTCATCAAGGTGTGCCTATCCTAAACTATTGAGAAAATAACGATCTTTAAACCATTTTTCGAGGATTTTTTATTATTATTTTGTCGGGTCAAAACCAAGTCTATGGATCTTAATTCTGTAAACGATTTACAATGATCAAGGGGGAAATTTAAATAAAGATTAATTTTTGCTATTTAAGGTCTAACGCTAATTGTGTCCCTCTCAACGTTTTGTGAATGAACATGCTATTAAAATGCAAGGCGTAAAGATAAGTGCTACTTGTACAAAATACTCAGTTGAAACGGATTTTGATTTCGTTTACGATACGATACTTCTTATTCCCCAATGTCATTTATTTATACGCTTGTCTGATGGTTCACTATCTATACTCTATACCGAAGGCCAGCTGAGTGTTGACGTCAATTCTGTGCAAAGATTCTTAAAATAAGCCATAGAAATATCAGTGAATATAAAGTGAAAATCGATGCGGTCCTGGTTAGGGGTACATGTACTTTACGATTTTGCCCTAAGCCTTAGTCCGCATTCCTATACCCAGATCGATCTAGCAGGATCGACCCATCGCCGAGGGATTTCTCGCTAAATTGCACTCAGCGTAAGTGGCTCTCATGTCTGGCACGGCTACTGAAGCAGTTAGGGGGAAGATTAACTATCGTTTAGCAGCTTCAGAAGCGTGCCTGACATCTCAGGTGCTTAGCTGAATGCAATTTAACAAGAATCTCCTCGGAGATGGGTCGATCCTGCTGGATCGATCTAGGTATAGAAGTGGGCTCTAATGCATGACGTTGTTGTGTCTTCTGCACTGGATGTCTGGCTGCGTCTGACACGGATACGACACCGACTCATTTTTTTTCTTCATGGCTGCAAATAGTTACATTTCAGAAGAGGGTTAAGCATTTAAAGGTGTTTAACATTAAAAAGCAAGCACGAGCAGTGTAGCTGATAGATCAAATAACCAGGTTCTATGGCTGTCTGGGTTAATGACACTTACTGTACTTATGCGTATGTTGCAGCGTTTGTTAAATGAACAAATGGTGAACTGTGTCAGATTTGACAATTATGATGAATTAATCGACCCCTGACTATTATAACTATTGACTAAACGCAGAGACCAAGCAAGGCCCCAATTTTGGGTGACAAAATAAGTTAAGGGAGAATATAATCGGAAAATGAAGTACTGTTGTGAAATAGAGCAGGTCAATGAAAAGTCAAACTGCGTTGTTGATCGAGACTCATCTCCTTAATCGAGGAAAAGAAATTAGGGGTATTTATTTAGACTATATCTCTCCCTCCCCATAAAATTATCAATAAATCTTTAGGTAAATTGAAAACAAAAGCATGAAGTCCACGCTCACTGGGAACAATGCGCTAATATCTCGATATGTAGGCCTACATGTAAGCTGTTGCTTGGGTTCGAAATGGAAAGCAGGCGGTTTAGATCTACTTCACTTGTTTGGGAGGATGAGAGCCTTTTAATTTTAAAATTTCCACCTGTCACTTCATATAAGTTTATTCTTCCAGATCAATAGACCTTTCACAACAGACGATGTCAAACGAATGGACAGGAAAGGTTTGATAAAGCGAAAGCTCCAGGGAGCGGCGCTTAAAGACACTGTGGCAGTTCCAAATGGGGGATTCACAATTGTCCGTTTTCACGCCACGAATCCAGGTACTCGGATGAAAAAAATAGGCCCTATCAAAATAATTTTGTTATTCCTCATACTTATATTTCACTTTAGATACGTCAGTTCTCAATATTATAGACCACCATTTCAATACACACGTATTTTCCACTTTCCATCTCCGTGAAATATGCCCTGACATTTTTAATTACCAAAAATTAACTTACGATAGATATTTTCAATTCAATTTTGATATCTTTCAGGTTTTTGGTTGTTCCATTGTCACATACTAATTCACTCAGAAAGCGGCATGTCTCTTGTTATCAAAGTCGGTGACCCAAAGAAAGACTTTCCGCCAATTCCACGCAATTTCCCGCGTTGTGGCACGTGGAATTTCGAGAACGAGGAAGAGCAGACGACGAGTGCCAAGTGCCCGGATGATTCCGCCGGTGTTCAAAAAATCCGTGCATCAGAAGGAACAAGGCTAAATAGCATGTCTACACTGGTTAATTTCGCAATTCTTTGGTTACTAGTTCCTTTAATTATTGTTTAATGTTTTCTGTGTATTTCATTTAAATTTCGCCCGGTTGTGCCACAAAACGCACAATAGCAGTTGAAAAATATTTTTGTTATTGGGATTAAGCCTTCATTCTTTTTTGTTAGTTCAGATTATGTGATCCAAAACTGCTCTCAGCCTGAGCATGGTGTCCTTTTTTTTAGTTTCTTTTTTAAGTAAAAATGAATGAATAATTATGACAGTGAAAGGTGACACCTTGCCTCAATTGTTGACGTTGACACAATTTCTAAATTTCAAAACATAACTGAACCTTGAAACTGAACCTTGAAAAGTGCCCCAAACTTGAAAAGTTGGAGGTACATTACATGCAGGTTAAATGCGTGCCCAGAGCTGGTATCCCCCGGTAATCCCAGTCTTTTAACTATTAACAATGGTAAGGTAAATTGTTATGGGTCGTTAATTACCCAAAATATTGCAAGCATTTCTGCAGTGCAGGATTATGACAAATATATAAACATAATAAATAATAATAATAATCTTTATTTGTTCTTGTTGTTTCTAGTTTCAACAGTAGATATAGCATCAGTGGGCTTACTTTATTGCAAAGTTCCTTAACCTTTGTGATGAAGAAAACATTAACTAATTTCCAAAATTGCTAATTGAACCTGAAACTGATTGTAGCCTGAAACAAGTTCTCACAAAGAGGTCGGTTCTATTAAAGCTCCCACCCCCAACAACACCAACTCTAGCCACAGGCTAGCTGTATGTTATATAATTAATGCCAAATCCCAACAACACACTTTGGAATTTATACATTATATTTTACGCTACATGATATTTTGAGTAACTAATCAGGCATTCAAGTGAATTGAATCTGTAATAATGCTTACTGACTGGTAAATCTCACTTCAACTTTCTACAACTATTGGCAAATGAAATTCTTTATGTTAAATTATTTCCTTTACTTCAAATATAAGAAATAGTATAGTAATGACTCAATCCTTTTAATGACGGAAATTGTGAATTTTACAGTTACTGTTTTCTTTTGAGGTCTAATTTTTTAAAATCAGAACATTCCTATTTAGTGGCAACAAAATTGAAATCAACTTCCAAAACTATGTATGATATGTATCTGAAAGATTCAATTTGATAACTTTTCCACTGAAAAGAAAGAGTCATTACCATAACCTACAACAAACTGCCAATCAACTTCAACTTCAAGGTCACCAGAATGCCACAGTGACAATATTATAACCCAGAAGTCACTGGGCCCTATGTCATATATTTGGTGGGCGTATATAAAAGACTTTCTTCACATAACGTCAAAGAGATCACTCTTTCCCCCTCTACATCTAATTAGAGAAAACAATCAACATCAGTGTTTGTTGTTCAAGAAAACATAATATTGTACATAAAGCTCTTCACCTTCATTCTTTTAGATTACAACACAAAAATATATTGCAACAATGTGAATATATATATTTAGACATATAAGAAAACACAAATTGGCACTTTTTGTTCTTGGGGACTGATATGACTTTGCTGTTATGGCTCCGGTAAACAAACTTGTAAGTTAGTACAAAATATATAGATTTCAATTCCTAAATTTTGCTAAATTTTTTAATGTTATTTCTGTCAAGTTTTCTAAAATAAATCAGAAAGATATCTGCATATCAAAAACAATCTATCTGCCCTGTTATTGAGTATTTTCTACAGTCATTAAATGCTTACTTTGAATTTTAAGGCAACTTAAAACAACTTAGAAATTAATATTTCATTTGAGACCTTGCACAAGTGGCACAGTATTTCTTTTAAATATATTTCAGAATCTATGAATCTTTGCTGAACTGCAGTTCAAATTGGTAAATAAAATTCAGCTTTACCTTTCATGAACACAACATGTAAACCTTATTAGGCATTTGAGCTACAATGTTACAGTTGTGTCTCAAATTTGGACAGTGGGGATGCTAATCTTACTTTGATAATAAAATTTTGAAAAAATCAAAAATGGGACTAAAATGGATTTGGAGACTTTTTTAATAGTAGGCTAACCAATTAATGATTTACCCTGTTTTGTATTGCACCGCAACAGAAAAAAAATTCTGAAGGAGCTGGGTTGCCTTTCACCAAGTGGCCTCTCTCCCATGGTCTGTAAAACAATTCTGTTCATCTGCCTATCTATCATACATACACTGAACTAAATTACTCAACAATCTGCATTTGATAGGAAAATCNTGGCATGGACCATTCTAACATGGTTCACTCTAACATGAGTAATTCTGGCATGGGTCACCACGAAATGGACTCCAGTGCTCATCACATTCATAGTCCGCAAATCAACCAAATTACGATGACTTTCCCGCCAAAACCTCTGCTATCCCAGTTTAATGAAATACCAGAGGTGAGTACCAGTGAACAAAAAGTTACTCCTTCTCTTACGTTCTTCAAGCTACTGAATCTTTTGTAAATGTATTAATTTCTATTGATTTCATGTCATAGGTTTAACCACCCAATTTTCGTTACACGTACGGCCCACATCATAGTCGGTAGATACAATGTAGGCCCTACGAATCATATAATTGGTCTTAATATTTTGCTCTATCATGTCACTTTACGGTGGTCCCTCTGGAGGACTTTTCCAAATCCATATTCCCACAAAGTTGAAAAAAGACGCTATCTGCCAACAGAACCAAATCTCACGATTCAATTATCAGGTGGATGGTGTAGGTGGAATAAGACAATAAACATTGTAACTCCATTGTTTATTTTCCCCCACCAGTCAGTATTATAACGGTTTTCATTCCAGGGGCAGTTCTGCAACCACACAACACACACGAACTGTATGCACGGCGCGTGTGAGTGTACGTACCTGCTGGAGGTCGAGTACGGCCAGGTGGTGGAGCTCGTGATGGTTGACCTCATGGGCACCAAGGACTCTCACCACCCGATGCATCTACATGGACAGCCATTCAGGGTGATGGCTATGCACAAAGTAAGGCCCCATTCCCAAAGCACACCATCGGTCTACGTAGATCGATCCGTCTCTTTGGGGACTCTCGCTGAATGCAGTCAGTTTTACAGATTAAAACGTCTCCTCTTGCCGTGAAGGAGGACACGGAAATGATGGTAATTGAACGTGAACGTTTGAAACTAATGGAGTGCCATTCAGTTAAGATGATTGCACTCAGCGAAAGTCCCCGCAGGGTTGAATCGCCTTTTTTGTCTTATGGGCATATAATGCGCGTTAAACCTTGATTCAGCAAACTGGATCAATTTTCCTCATGATTTAAATAATTTTCTCTTTTTCATCAAGGTGTGCCTATCCTAAACTATTGAGAAAATAACGATCTTTAAACCATTTTTCGAGGATTTTTTATTATTATTTTGTCGCGTCAAAACCAGGTCTATGGATCTTAATTCTGTAAACGATTTACAATGATCAAGGGGGAAATTTAAATAAAGATTAATTTTTGCTATATTAGGTCTAGAACGCCAATTGTGTCCCTTTCAACGTTTTGTGAATGAACATGCTATTAAAATGCAACGCGTAAAGATAAGTGCTACTTGTACAAAATACTCCGTTGCGACGGATTTTGATTTCGTTTACGATACGATACTTCTTATTCCCCAATGTCATTTATTTATATGCTTGTCTAATGGTTCACTATCTATACTCTATACCGAAGGCCAGCTGAGTGTTGACGTCAATTCTGTGCAAAGATTCTAAAAATAAGCCATAGAAATATCAGTGAATATAAAGTGAAAATCGATGCGGTCCTGGTCAGGGGTACATGTACTTTACGATTTTGCCCTGAGCCTAAGTCCGCATTCCTATACCCAGATCGATCTAGCAGGATCGACCCATCGCCGAGGGATTTCTCGCTAAATTGCACTCAACGTAAGCGGCTCTCATGTCTGGCACGGCTACTGAAGCAGTTAGGGGGAAATAAACTATCGTTTAGCAGCTTCAGAAGCGTGCCTGACATCTCAGATGCTTAAGCTGAATGCAATTTAACAAGAATCCCCTCGGAGATGGGTCGATCCTGCTGGATCGATCTAGGTATAGAAGTGGGCTCTAATGCATGACGTTGTTGTGTCTTCTGTACTGGATGTCTGGCTGCGTCTGACACGGATACGACACCGACTCATTTGTTCCTTCATGGCTGCAAATAGTTACACATTCAGAAGGTTAAGCATTTACAGGTGTTTTATATTAAAAAGCAAGCACGAGAAGTGTAGCTGATAGAACAAATAACCAGGTTCTATGGCTGTCTGGGTTAATGGCACTTACTGTACTTATGAGTATATTGCAGCGCTTGTTAAATGCGCATATGGTGAACTGTCAGATTTGACAATTATGATGAATTAATCGACCCCTTGACTGTCATAAAAATGAACTATTGACTAAACGCAGAGACCAAGCAAGGCCCCAGTTTTGGGTGACAAAACAAGTTAACAGAGAATATAATCGGAAAATGAAGTACTGTTGTGAAATAGAGCAGGTCAATGAAAAATCAAACTGCGTTCTTGATCGAGACTCATCTCCTTAATCGAGGAAAAGAAATGAGGGGTATTTATTTAGACTTTATCTCTCCCTCCCCATAAAATTATCAATAAATCTCTAGGTAAACTGAAAACAAAAGCATGAAGTTCACGCTCACTGGGAACATTACGCTAATATCTCGATACGTACATGTAAGCTGTTGGTTTGGTTCGAAATGGAAAGCAGACGACTATCTACTTCACTGAGAACTCTGTTTCCATTTTGTTTTGGAGGATGAGAGCATTTAATTTTCAAAAATTTTCACCTGTCACATCATATAAGTTTATTCTTCCAGATTGATGGACCTTTCACAACAGACGATGTCAAACAAATGGACAGGAAAGGTTTGATAAAGCGAAAGCTTAAGGGAGCGGCGCTTAAAGACACTGTGGCAGTTCCAAATGGGGGATTTACAATTGTCCGTTTTCATGCCACGAATCCAGGTACTCAGATGAAAAAAAGGCCTTACCATAAGAATTTTGTGATTCCTCATATTTATATTTCATTTAAGATACGTCAGTTCTCAATATTATAGACCATCATTTCAATACACACATGTATTTTCCACTTTCCATCTCCATTTCCATCCATATGCTCCGACATTTTTAATTACCAAAAATTAACTTACGATAGATATTTTCAATTCTTTTTGATATCTTTCAGGTTTTTGGTTGTTTCATTGTCACATACTAATTCACTCAGAAAGCGGCATGGCTCTTGTTATCAAAGTCGGTGACCCAAAGAAAGACTTTCCACCAATTCCACGCAATTTCCCGCGATGTGGAACATGGAATTTCGAGAACGAGGAAGAGCAGACGACGAGTGCCAAGTGCCCGGATGAATCCGCCAGTGTTAAAAAAATCCGTGCATCAGATGGAACCAGGCTAAACAGCATGTCTACACTGATTAATTTCGCAATTCTTTGGTTACTAGTTCCCTTTATTATTGTTTAACGTTATCTGTATATTTCATTTTAATTTCGGATGGTTGTGTCACAAAACGCACAATCGTAGTGAAAAATATTTTTTTGTTATTGGGAAGCCTTCATTCTTTTTTGTTAGTTCAGATTATGTGATTCAAAACTGCTCTGAGCATGGTGTACTATTTTTTAGTTTCTTTTTTAAGTAAAAATGAATGAATAATTATGACAGTGAAAGGTGACGCATTGCTTCGTTTGTTGACTCTGACACAATGACCCCATTCCCAGAGATTAGATCGATCCAAACTAGATCGACCTAACTCCCTGGGGTTTCACGCTAAATAGCTGTCAGCCGAGCGGGCACGAGACTTAATTACCCCCTTACAGCTTGTAGTAGGCGGGACGGACATTTAAGCCGGATTATCTGACAGTAATCTACTGAGACTCCCCACGGGGATAGATCGATCTAAAATCTATGGGAATACGCCCAATTTCTACGAAGTGTAGGCTTACGGGTGTCCACGGCTCAGAACATAGATCTAAAACTGAACCTTGAAAAGGACCCTGCTGTTGGAGGTACATTACATGCAGGTTAAATGCATGCCCAGAGCTGGTATTCCCCAGTAATCCCAGTCTTTTATCGATTAACAATGGTAAGGTAAATTGTTATGGGCCGTTAATTACCCAAAATATTGCAAGCATTTCTGCAGTGCAGGATTATGACAAATATATAAACATAATAAATAATAACAATCTTTATTTGTTCTTGTTGTTTCTAGTTTCAACAGTAGCTATAGCATCAGTGGGCTTACTTAATTCAGAGCTCCTCAACCTTTGTGCTAAAGAAAACATTATCCATTCCTGCATCAGAAAGTTTCAAAACATTATTTTCCAGTACAGGACTGTTGCCAGGAATTGGATAGAGAAACAAGGGGGTCTTTTAGTAAAAATATTTCAATAAAATAACCTGGATTTTTTGTAGGCAACTTTTACTATAGATTTCATAATAAAAGCCATTTCCATTTATCAAGGTCTGTAAATTCAAGGCCAAATGCTAATTGAACTTGAAGTTGAATGTAGCCTAAGACAAGTTCTGGCAAAGAGGTCGGTTCTATTAATGCTCCCCCTCCCCTCCCCCAACAACACCAACTCTGGCCACAGGCTAGCTGTATGTTATATAATTAATGCCGAATCCCAACAACACACTTTGGCATTTATGTGTTAAATTATAAACTACTTGATATTTTGAGTAACTTATCAGGCATTCAAGTGAATTGAATCTGTAATAATGCTTATTGACTGGTAAATCTCACTTCAACTTTCTACAGCTATTGGCAAATGAAATTCTTTATGTTAAATTATTTCCTTTACTTCAAATATAATAAACAGTATAGTAATGACTCAATCCTTTTAATGACGGAAATTGTGAATTTTACAGTTACTGTATTCTTTTGAGGTCTAATTTTTTAAAATCAGAACATTCCTATTTAATGGCAACAAAATTGAAAGCAAATTCCAAAACTATGTATGATATGTATCTGAAAGGTTCAATTTGATAATTTTTCCACTGAAAAGAAAGAGTCATTACCATAACCTACAACAAACTGCCCACCAACTTCAACTTCAAGGTCACCAGCTGAATGCCACAGTGACAATATTATAACCCAGAAGTCACTGGGCCCTATGTCATATATTTGGTGGGCATATATAAAAGACTTTCTTTACATAACCTCAAAGAGATAACTCTTTCCCTTTCTACATCTAATTTGAGAAAACAATCAACATCAGTGTTTGTTGTTCAAGAAAACATAATATTGTACATAAAGCTCTTCATCTTCATTCTTTTAGATTACAACACAAAAAATGTATTTCAACAATGTGAATATATATATTTAGACATAAAGGAAAACACAAATTGGCACTTTTTGTTCTTGGGGACTGATATGACTTTGCTGTTATGGCTCTGGTAAATAAACTTGTAAGTTAGTACAAAATATATAGATTTCAATTCCTAAATTTTGCTAAATTTTTTAATGTTATTTCTGTCAAGTTCTCTAAAATAAATCAGAAAGATACCTGCATATCAAAAACAATCTATCTGCCCTGTCATTGAGTATTTTCTACAGTCATTAAATGCTTACTTTGAATTTTAAGGCAACTTAAAACAACTTAGAAATTAATATTTCATTTGAGACCTTGCACAAGTGGCACAGTATTTCTTTTAAATATATTTCTATGAATCTTTGCTGAACTGCAGTTCAAATTGGTAAATAAAATTCAGCTTTACCTTTCATAAACACAACATGTAAACCTTATTAGGCCTTTGAGCTACAATGTTACAGTTGTGTCTCAAATTTTGACAGTGGGGATGCTTATCTTACTTTGATAATAAAATTTTGAAAAAATCAAAAATGGGACTAAAATGGATTTGGAGACTTTTTTCATAGTAGGCTAACCAATTAATGATTTACCCTGTCTTGTGTTGCACCACAACAGAAAAAAAATTCTGAAGGAGCTGGGTTGCCTTTCACCAAGTGGCCTCTCTCCCATGGTCTGTAAAACAATTCTGTTCATCTGCCTATCTATCATATATACACTGAACTAAATTACTCAATAATTTGCATTTGATAGGAAAATCAAATTACACATATCCAGAAAGATTTTTTCATCTGATATTCACAGATATTCCTCTGGTTAATTTTGTACAATTTCTGTACAACAGGTGCAAATTTTGCAAAAAAAAAAAAATAAATAAGAAGGACATCATCACCCAGATGCCCTCTGGTGGAGAAGCTTACATAATTGATTCTAACTGCACCTTGGACATTTAAACAACACAGACTTCTTAAGTCTAACGAGTTGAACTCTAACCAGGTTCATCAATTTAAAGCATTTGAAATTAGGCCAGCATATAAATTTTTTTGTTTAAGCTGGTGCTACTTTGAATGTGTGAAGAGTCACTGTGATATCTGTCAAACATGCAATGTCAAAGGCAAATCAATAAACCACTGGTTCATCAATGGTACAATGTGTCAGCTAATTTATTACCAAACTTCCCTCTGAGTATCCAGACTGTCCGGATCCCCTGTCAACAGTACTGTCATCTATGCTACTGTCATCCATTTCTCTGTATGGGACATTAGAATCTCTCAGTTTGGAGCAGTAACACTTCTTCTGGCCCAAAGTGAAGGATGCCTTTACCGCAAAAATGGTTCCAATAACAAAGAAATAGGACCCATAAACTATAAACTGTAAGAAAAAAGTGGAAAATATTAGCAAAAATCACCACAGGCTGACCAGATAGATGAGGGTTTGTATCACATCTACTGCAGTCTATTCACCATAAATTAAATACCTGTCTCATTTATTTATTTTCTTTTATTTAGAATCTCACATTTACAAATTGAATAGTGTTTTACACATCTATATATCAACAAATCAGGAAAAAGAAAAAAAGTAAAGTTATAGATCCCAAGTCCCTCATCTGACATCAGTATTTATAATACATAATACATAGCCCTTTCTTTTTAAAACGCATTTGTCAAACATATCTTATTAACTAATTTTTTTCTTGTTTGTCTATTATTAAAAGGAAGGGAGGGTTCTTACCTGTGTGTCAGGAGTGGCGTCCAGCCCCCTCTTATCCACCAGTATGGCCGTCATGATGGTCTGTATCAGCACAGCAACAAACGTGTTACAACCAAACACCAAGGCATACCTCTCTACTGCTAGCACTGAGGCCACCTGGTAACTGAAATAATACAAATAATAATTAAGGTCTAAAATCAACCTAAAATGTTCAATAGACTTAACTCATTAATAATTTCAGAAATGTAAACACAATAATAAAAACGGTGTAAACAAAGAGGAAAATGGTAAAAATATTGAATAGCATGTCACAAACTTAGCTGATTTTTGTTTAAATTGTAAATTTTCTGTGTTCTGTGATGTTAAAAGTGGCACCAAGCAAAACTTCAGGATAAAACTAAAGCTGGATCAGTTGAAGTTAGTAAATGTGTTCAGTCACTTTTTTCAACATAAACCCATTAGAATCTTAAACCTTGGTGACCCATAGAGTTGGAAAAAAAAAGACACACTGTTCCTGAAAAGTTCTGTAGTAAGAGAGATCCTTGTAAAAATTTCTGAAAATAAAAAACACCTCATACATAAAAAACTCACCTAGCTATTGTGATAACCATTTGAAATGAGGCCCGGAATGCAATATAAAGCCCATATGCCAGCCAGATAGACTTGGAGAAGGAAATGGCAAGTAGCACCACTGCATCCAGTATAGAAATCACACCCAAGAAAGCCTCCCCCCATTTCCTCCAGTTCACCTTCACAAAGCCTACCAGGAGTGCAGCAAGAGCACCTAAGTGAATAATGATTTAAAGTCTTTGAGACACACTAGTACAAATATTGGTGATTATTCATACATGTATTACAAAATAAATACAATAATATAACAAAGCACACATCTATTGAGCAATGTTTTCACAGAATTAAAAAAAAATTAAATCTACCCAAAATTCAAATTAAACTAGTGTATTCATTTTTTTCAGTGACATAAACATACCAATTAAATAAATAATCTAGATACTGATGCAAAAACTGGTGAAAAAGTAGAATACTAAGTATACTTGTCAATAAATGCCTCAGGTATGCCTGAGGAAAAAGGACAAAGAAATGGAATTCTCAAGTGTTGGCAAGATAAATCGGTGTTTTACCTATTGCAGTGGACACAGCATCCACTCCACCATTATAAACATCGGGGTTGTCCCTGGATGGACTTATGATGTCCCACATATTCTGGATATAGTTTCCCACTTGGAAATTCCCACACATTGCAAATGCCCACCAGAGGGACCACTTCAAGAGGTGCCGGTCTCTATAGCACGTCAAAAAATCATGCCACATACTTTTAAAAGAATCTCTGCAGGCTGCGTTCATATTCTGCGATCTTTGTACTAAGTTTGTGTCAACAGACTGCCAACTGACCGTATCATCCACATTGCTACGGAGATGCAGGTCAGAGTAAAAATGGCTCCCAGAATCTTGAAATTCATTATCCAGCCTCATAATTTTACTGTCAACACTTCCACTCATGCCATATGCCAGCGATCTGGCATCTAAATCCATGCCTAAAAAGCCAGCACTGCCAAACTGTAATGAAGATGGAGTCCCAGTTTCAAGTGTGTTAGGTGTGACTCCCCGGTTGTGATGGATTGTGCTGGGTGTGCTGGCCCTGCTGCTCAAGATACTTGGGGGGTGGGAGCCCATGATGGAATCATCACAGGAGGCGCAGCGCTCACGGTCGATTTCTCTGTTGGGATCCTGGCTAGCATCAATCTGATAATGTAAACATATACAAGTATAATGATTAAATGAACAACACCTAAATATACATGCAATCCAGCACTGCCTGACTACAAAGATAAATCTTTGGAAGCTATAACTTATACAAAGAATTAGAAACAATAATAAAAGCAGACAAGTATTTTCAAATAGGGATAGTAAAACATTTCATATCAAAATTCATTTTCACAATGTCAATTAATTTACACCTGCTGTTTTCAGTTCAGGTATTCTGGCCATTATACACGACTCTCTCTCTCTCTCTTATACACATATTAACCCTCTCTTTCACACACACACACACACACACACACACATGCACACATGCATGCAAGCATGTACACACTCAAACACACAAAGTTAACACTACACCAGTTTATGCCACACCTACCTGCTGTTGTGAGTTCTCAGTCGATGTTTCTTGGTGAAAATACACTGACTTGGAGACGCTTGGCAGACAGACCGCCACAATGAATGCTGCCCCCACACTGCCCATTGAGATGCAGTTTAGCACAAAATAAGACACATGCCCCAAAGACACCAGAAGTTGACCAAGGAGTCCTGCTATGAATCTTCCTGGAAATTGGAAGGGAAAACAAACATTTTAAGCTCTTTCAAGGTAAACTATCTGTGTTTGAAAATGTCATATATTCTGCAAAGCTACTTATCTTTGCCAATTCAGGCCTTAAAAAACCCCAAAAGAAAAATACCTGATGTTCAATGTACAGGAAGACTTGGCAGTCTTAATATCAACTGGCTAGTCATTTAGATCTCAATTATCTAATAAGATATGGTTAAAGTCATTGGCTCCAAGTGCAGGGATGTGTCTAGCAACGATTCTTGAGTAGAAGAAAAACATTTTTCAAGGAAAAGCCGACTTGGCAGGAAATTCTCCGAAGGGTTTCTTGCTAAATTGCATTCATCTTATGCTGTTCTAATGTCTGGCACACCTACTGAAGCTGTTAGGGGGTAATAAACTATGGTTTAGCAGCTTCAGTATGAGTACCAGACATCTCAGCCACTTAAGCAGAAAGCAATTTAGCAAAATCCAGCTAGAACAATCTAGCTATGGCGAATGGGGTCTAAGTCTTTGTTCCATACCTAACAACACTGCAGCCCTAGTGTAGCTAGTAACCCTCTGATAGTGGTCCTTCTCCACTGCTGCATAGATGTACGAATAATACGCTATCTCTGTGGCTGTAGCCAGTCCATATAAAAACTGCATCAATTGCATCGTCAGGACCCCCTGCCCCCACAGAAGGAGGGCCCATGTTCCCAGGTACGTCAAACCCTCGAAGATGATCACTGGTTTGTAGCGTAGGAGATCAGTGAGTAGGAAGACTACGATTAAGGCGACGAGGTAGGAGTAAGTCCACACTGGGTAGACCTGGAGGAATTGAATGTTTATTTTCTTGTATAATTACTTTAATTACTCACAAATTGCAAATGCCTCAGATAATCATTTATCTTAATTTCCAAAGATTTATAGATTTTAGATACTGCAGTATTGTGTGATTTGAAAGAAAAAATTTAAGCAGTGTTTGCACGCCGCAGAAAACGTATACAGTACTGGTATATATGTACATGTACATTTGTTAGTCTGTTGTTTGCTTGCTTGTTTGCATAATATCTGGCAGAATGAACCATCATGCATATACATATACTATGAAAATAAACTGGCAAAAAATATATATATTTATATATAAATAATTTTCAAAAAAGCAAACCTCATTGTCCACCTGGGTTTCACTCAAATTCTTATCTGGTCCCACAAGGTAAGGTGTCAAAAATGACTCCGAGGGGCGCAGCTCCTTCAGGAAGCCATACAAGCACAGGGCTGCTGTAGCAGCCACCAGGGAGACACACATGGCCCTCAGTTGACTAGGAAGACTTGTACTAGTATATATATTGTGAATGAATGCTTGTTACTGGCTACATCTTTGAATCACACTGAAAATGAAAAATGAAGCTGCTGTTTGTAAAACATTTATCATGGCATTCTATTTATGCATGTAAACGTACAACAAGTACCAAATTTGAAGGACCGTCAACAGTGGGATCATTCCCCATGAAACCATTGTTCTATGTAGGTCCATCCTACTCCGCATGGACTCTTGCTGAATGCACTCAAATTAAAAGATTAAGACACCTCCTCCTGGCATTGAGTAAATTACAGGAAGAAGCCGGTGATTATACAAGTGCATTGGAAGCAAGAGGAGGCTCATATCAGTACTAAAACATACGTGATTCGTAAGCACAGTGGTATATGGAGCAAAGCAAGACCGCGGTTACACTTTCAAGTTACAGGAGACAAACACAGTACATCTTATAAAGTAATAATCACAAAATTACTTGCAGTACAATGTTGAAGGGGTGCTCAGGAAGTTTTAGTTATTTTCCCTTAGGAGAAACTGAAAATGCAAATCTTACAGTTCTTATGATTTCCTGCCCGTACGATGTTTCAACTTTCATCTGGGGCGAACTTCTTCCTCACTCGGAACTACTCGGATGTCTCCGCACTCGACAATGACCTCGGACGTGATACGTAGGCATCCATATTGGAACTACTTTCAACCTCGTCCAATTTAGACCATAATCCTTTGCGCGCAGCAAGATTTGCGGTATTTTCCCTAAAACTATAGACGCGCAAAAGAAATATTGCACAGGTGAGTTAAAATGTTTATTTAATTTAAAATAAAATAAATATGCGTAAAACTAATATTTCTTTTCACAATTATAACCTATTGCGATGAAATTGGCCAATTTTAATAAAGATTTTTGATTTTATACGATAGGCTGACCTGGAGCGCATTTGCGCACAGGAGTGTGTTAGATGTGGTGAGAGGAGATTGCGTTCGTGCTTGTCTTGATTGACCCATTTTTAGAGTCACGTTGGTTTGTTTTGTTTCGTTCTGCCCGGTCTGAGTACGATGTCCATTTTTTCCACACCATAGGCAGGCCCAAATCACCCAAAAATTCAGCAAGAGAGCCTTGAGTGAGAGGGAATTGATATGCCAGGAAAGTCGTATACCCAATTATATTTATGGTGCCCTATCTAAGTTGTTCCGTCATTCCGAGTCTGGTTAATTTTAGACCAAAACATTTGTTTTGAAGTACTGTATATTATGGTAAAATTACACTATTTTCTGTAATTTATCGAAATTAAAACGTACAAGAAAAAGGTGATGGTAAAAAAATATGTGTAATGAATGCAAATAAATTTAGCGCCCCCACTATCATGCTTGTGGGCTGATTTGATAGTTGTCAGCACCTCTAGCTTGATTTTAGTGGAACATTGTTTTGAGGCAGTGGATATTGGTCAGGATAGGTGGTAGTGAAATATCACAGGAGAGCAAGCTCAGTGGTAGAGCGTTCACCTTGTGTGGAAGGTCTTGGGTTCGATTCCCAAGCTCTCCTTATTGCAAAGTAACCTACCAGTAACTTCATTCCTGTGCCATACTGCACATTCATGCTCTCAAACAGTTATTAATGTAAATTGTCTACAATATTTATTTGTATCATCTTTTAAATAGCATACATTGTTGAATTACAATTCATTTGGGAAAAAAGATTATTCATTGTAATTTAGGATATTTTGGTTAAATGTAGTTAATACTAAATGTGTTCATCTCTACCTAAAGTTTACTCTACTGCTAAAACTCATAATTATTAACAGGTTATTTTCTTTTTTTTCGGTAAACACAGTTTGCTGTATCATCATATTTTCCATAATTTTCTACAGGGGAATAAAGTGATTGGGTGCTCACTCTTATGGATGTTATATTTACATGTTTGGTCATAGCTGGTTTCTTTTGGATATTAGTATCTAGTATCTAACATTTAAACAGTTATGGTTATTAGAGACACCTTATTGATATGATTATATGTATCAATCATTATGTTAGAGTAGAAAAGAAAATTTTGAAAATACTGTTTACTTCTGAGCCTGAAATATTTTGTCTATTTTCCCTAAATAAAAGTGTAACTGTTAAAAATATCTTTTCAGGATGATGTTGCTTTCATTTCTAGAATGGAAACTCCTGTCATGTTTCATTCGTAAGTCTTTGCTAATGTGATTATCAATCATGAAGCGCACATGATGGAATCAGAAACTCCACAAAAACTAATCCCATTGAGTTCATGTTTGCTCTGTGCCTCAGCAACCAGGAGGTTGCACTCTTTCATCCAAAAGAAGGCTATAGAAGAACTTTATCAGGATGTAGTTGAGGATTTTTTAGGTAATTTTCTTGATATTGACTTATACACTGCAGTTGGTAATGACACTAGACAGCTGCTAATAGTAAATGTAAATCCGCAGTGTGTGCATGTATACATGAAAATATATATATATATAAAGTTCTCAAAAGAAAAATCAGAACCAAATCAATAAAATGTATGTGACTGATTTATGGCTTCAGTCAGTTTGAGATACATATATGTTTACAGTTATCCAAACTTGACTTTGACTTTTAAAAAAGTGTACTATCCTACCCTTTAGAAAAAAAACATGCATTTAATTTTCAACCCCCCCCCAAAAAAAGTTGTTATATATAATTTTATAATTAAAATTGAACAACTGGGGATTAGTTATGCCTGACCACATATAATGATGTATTATTTATTGTGTGCTATGTGTTATGTGAAACACAGTAAAATTTTTGTGATTTTTAGGAGTGAAAATACAGGACGTCTCTCTGATAGATGGTTTGAAACTTTGTGAGGTCTGTTTCAATAAATGCTCTGCAGCAGTAGCTTTCCGAAAGGATGCCTTAATAACTTATAAACAACAGATTGAGTCAATGCAACGTACCAAAAGACTGTCAAAAACACCACCATCTGCATTGAAGAAAAAAACTGTGGTTGAAAATTTACTTAGCTCTGTTGAAAAGTTGAAAAGGTTAAAGTTAAGCAAAAATGCTGTTGAAAACACATCTTCCACCAAAGAATCTAAAGCTCGTAGATGTTTGATGTCAGTTGTCAATGAACCTGAAGAGGAAACTTTACCTGCTACATGCCTACCAGACCGTTTATTTGACCATGGTTACACTAGATCCCAGGGAGGAGTTGAAAGTACAGTTAATTTTAATGTTCAACAGGATCACGACTACTGTGAGGTATCAGAGACCAAAGAAAGTGATGAACATTTGAGATCCATATCTGCTGTTCATTCATACCCATTATCTGATGAACTAGTGAAGCTGGACACACAATTGCAAAACCTGTGTCAACCTGGGGTTAGTGTGTTATGGCAACGAAACCCAGAAGTTTTGATGAACGACAATTGCTTTGCTAAAGGTGTGAATGAGTTGGAGCGTAACTGCCCTTTCCTGTTGCATGTGTTGGCTACCTGTCTAGGACAAAATATTTGTGATGAGAACAAGGTTGCGATGATTGGGACCATCTACGGAATGATCCTGCATGCCAGAAACAAGAAGATTTCTGCTGTGCAAAGAATCTACACAGCTCTTGCCATACAGTATCATGCAGACAATGAGGTATTGTTTAATCATGTTTATTAAAAAATTTATTGCATTAAGATTTTTTTTGTTTTATACTAACATGATGTCAAACAAGGTGTAAGTGGTTTCATATATGACCTGTGCAAAAGTGCATTCAAAATTTTAAATATTTTCAACTCTGAGTGTAAAATACATGCAAATCTTTACTTAAGAAACCACAATACTCTTTATTTGACTTATTAGAACCCTCTATACACTGCACATGAAAGAGTCCTAATTCTATGCAGTTTACTATCATCTGCTGTCAAATCAAAAATATGAGTCTGTTTTTCAACTTTTAATGAAATAAAGCATTTTTAACAATCTATTCGGGCAAGAATGACTCATTGTCCATAAATATTTATTTGGAAAGGGGGGGGTCCCTATGTAGAAAGCAAAAATATATAAACTCATTAATTACTACTTTATATTTTTTAACCTCAAAATAACCAAATAATGTTTTGTAAGTGTATAGATGGTTATAGTTAATTTACCTTTGTTATGTTAATCTAAATTAACTGTTTGTTATTTTGTTATGTTTACAGTGTTACTTTCAGTATTTACATCATAAGTTATTAAAGCACAACTACATCATGATGGAAGTTGATGTCAGGTAAACAGTCAGGTATGTATATATACACATGGTCTTTTAGTTCTTAATTGGTGAAGCATTTCTTTTCTAGCTATTCAAACCAAATGTCTTTAATCTTCTTCAAAAAATGTATTTAAAAAAATTGAATTGATTATTAAATACCATTTAATAATATTTAAATCTTTTTTTTAGCTGCTCCAGAGGTTAAACAAAGTTCACATTACTTTGTCACATGAATCTAAAAGACACCTGCTTGGAAACTTTTCCGATTACAGTTTTGACCAAATCGTCCGGAATTGTGCCAGTGGTATGGATGGCAAAATTAATGGTGATAATTTAGACATATATGTGAAAACAAATGACATCAGATTGAACAACAAGAACAAAGACTTGCACTATTTCGCTACTGATTTCACATTTGACCGTGTACGTTTGGACCATCTTGAAGACACAACAGCAGCTGGAGATCCTAACAACATTGATGTCCAAGTGTTTATTCCAACTGCTGATGAAATGACTCTGTACCGAACGTCACTCAAATATTTGATTGGTAGAGAACTTGCACAAAATATTAAGGGACTAGATTGGATGAATGCCATCATACCAAAACATATTCCCCATGATATGGAGAAAGTGATGTGTCAAAAGTCAAACATTTTTTGGCTTCCTTTACAGTTGAAGAATGAAATGTTTCATGATCAGTGCATTCAGATTATGAATGAGTTGGAAAACCATGTAAACACCATCTATTCTAAAGCTGGAAGAGGTATTTCATCATATTAAATCAATAACATTTTTTAATATTGATCATTATCACTATGAATGCTAAAGAGCAAATCATCAGAAAGCTTGCTAAATTAGCACTTTAATTAGTTAGTGTTGTAAGTGTGGGATATTTATAAGTTTTGATTTTCTAATCTGATTTCATTGGCATGTTTTAGTACATAGAGTTCATACATAATAAAGTTGTGTCAGTTCTAGCCTTGTATGCATTACAGGTGGAGATCTGGAGAGATTAAAGATTGTAGTAGGTGGTGATCAGCTGACCAGGGTTAATCTTCAATGTGCCAAGAACTTAAGAAGAGGATGCTATACACAAACAGAGAGACTGGACCATCTCCATCCAATAATAGTGGAAATGTTTCACACTTTGATGGATTTTCTGGAGGTTACTTGCTATAATCTAATTTTGAACTGTTAATTTGATTAAAATATTTAGCTATTTATCTTTAATGGACAATTGAAAACAATATGAATATTGCATATTTTAAATGGTAACATTGAAGATGTTTTGGTAACAGTGAAAGTATAATATTAAATAAGTAAAGTATTTTATGTTTCAGAAGTTATTCAAAAGATTTTTTTCACCAGAATGTGGCCGAGATGCTGCAACTCTAGCAAA